TTAACGATGTAGAAAGAGCAGATTGGGTAAAACTTACTAGGGATGTCATTTCAGAATTTGTTCATCTCTTACGGTTTATTTTTAGTTGAAAGTCGGACTTACAGGATAAAGCAAACTTCCATCATTGGTTCACACCCCAGATAGCCACAAGAGCTGGGGCTGAGCCAATCCAAAGCCAGGGGTTGCTTTTAGGTCTCCCCTGTGGGTGCAGGGCCCCAAGGACCTGAGCCATCCTCCTCTGCTTTCCCAATCCATAGGCAGGGAGCTGGCTCACAAGTGGAGCAGCTGGGACATGAACCAGCACCTAAATGGTATGCTACAGGTGGAAGGTTAGCCTGATACATCACTGCACCAAGTTTGTTCCTCTTTTGTCTTATTTTTCCTCTGCAGGGCCTCCTTTAATTCAATTTGAAGATACAACATGCATAGACACCCCTCTCGGGAGGCCTTCTCTCTCCAACAGATTATGCTAATTAGAGTAAGACAGCTGGACTTAATCGCACATGGGTATGTATGCGTACATACCCTAGGAAAAATGCCTTGAGGCCAAGATTAATTTCCAATTTTTAAGTTGCAGCTATCCAGGAATGGTACAGGGAGAACTGTCACATTACTTTCTATGCCAAGAAAGACATAAAGCGCAAAATAGTCACTACCCACTTTTCATAAAGTTTAACACCTGCCAGAGAACTCCATGCACCTGCAAAGCTTCCAAACAGGTGCAAAGAATGCCAACACTCCATTTTAAATATAAACAGAGTGGAAAACATGTTTTCTTGCTATGGGAATAAGACTGCATTCTTAGAAAATCCCTCACTGACAGTTAACTTTCAGGATTACAATATTCAAAACAAACCAATACTTTCTATTTTTTGGAATGAAACTGAAGTTAACCTGAGTATATTCAGTTATATATGTGTTTTGCAAACAACTAAAAACATGGTGTTGACTAAGTTTTTACTCTCAATACTATAAAGATGTGCAATGTTAGTTGATTTTCTATGTGAATGCATCTTACAAAGTAGCCTCAAATTGAATTTTAAAGCACTATTGTTCCTCTGCTTGTATTAGCACGTCCTAGATGATTCCCAACATTCAACAGGAGGCATTCAGTTTCAGCCTAGAAGATAACTGCTTTTGCTTTGGCTGGGTCTCCAGACTTCACTTTAGGAGGTGAAAGAACATGAAAAACAGGGTAGAGGTTCCAAGAACTGCCTGTGCATTCAAGTTCATTCTTCAAACTGAACGGATATACTCAGACACCAAAAAATGGACCTTGTATGTCAAACACCAGCTCAAATTCAGGAGTTTTGTTAAAGGCGGGGCGGAGCGGGGAACAGGGTTTGGTTGCAGTCACTTCAGATAGGATTTCCACACAACAAGTTGGATGTCTTTGTGGGTAGGGTACACTAACGAACTTAGTCATGTAACTACCAGCACAACAAAAATTCCTTACTTGAAAGCTTTCTACACCTCTTCAGAAACAATCCCTTCCAACAAGTCCCAGCTTCTGGCTACGACAAATATGATCACTGTTCCCATTGGTTTGCCTTTTCTGGAATGCCATACAAATCCTTTGTACCTATTTTGAACTTAGAGGTATAATGTAGGGCTGGCACCATGGCACCAGCATCCCATAGGGTCATTAGTTTGAGTCCTAGCCACTTTACTTCTGATCCAGCTGAGAACATCCTTGGGAAAGTACTGGAGGATGACCCAAGTCCTTGAGGCTCTGCACTCATGTGAGAAACCCAGAACAAATTCCTGGCTCCCAACTTCGGACTAGCCCTGCCTGGCCCTTGTGGCTATTTGGGAAATGAAACAGATGGAAAAGGTCTGTCTTTCTCTGTAGCTCTACGTTTCATGATAGATTCCCAACTGATTGTGAAGGACTATGCTATTGTAATGATGTTGGGGAAATTATTGGGGAGGGGGAAGGGAAATCTTGGAGCCTATGGAACTGTATCATGAAATACATATTTTAAAACTCTTCAAAAATGTGCAAGGAGTATACAACCATTTCTACTGCTGCTGCTTCGTTTTGCAATTCCTGCATGCTATTGCATGCATCAATACCTCAGTGTTTATTACTGAAGAGTGCTCCACTTATGCCATGATTTGTTGATTAATTGAATGACACTGTGGTTCTAAGTCATGGTGATTATGAATAAAGCTGCTACCAAAAAACTAAGTTTTTTAACTCACATCTGTCATCATTTCTCTTGGATAAAATGTCTAGAAGTAGGATTTCTAGTTTTTATGATAAGAATCCACTTAATTGTATAAGAAGCAAACTGTTTTCCATGTGACTACTATTCAACAATGCCTAATAGTACACGTTCCTTCAAATCCTCATCAGCCCTAGGTATTGCCAGTTTCCTTGATTTGAGTCACTTGTACAAATACTTCATGAACTTTCAACCCCAGCTTCAACATAAATTAAACTTTTTGCTAGTGATGCATACAGGGTTGAGAAAGCGCCCTTCCAAAAGTCACGCTGGCACGTGGTCTCATTTTGGAGTAGGAAATTTACATATGTAATTACATTTAGATGAGGTCAAACTGAATTAAAGGGATCTTAATTCTAATATCAGGAGCTTTCCTAAGAATGCCATGTGAAGAAACAGAGTTACACATACCAATGCAGGCAAAGACAAGCCATGTTTCCACCTCGGAACCCAGAAAGGCCCAGAAGATGGAAGGACAAAGTTTCCTTTCTTAGAGTCAGAAAACCAAGCCTTGCTAACCCCTAACATTCAGACTTTTGATCTCTAGCTGAGCAAGACAATAAATTCCTGGTTTTCTAAATCATCCAATTGTGTGTGGGGGGGGGGGAGGGGGTAATTTGTCATACTCTGAAGATAATTTTTAGAGTAAAGTAATGCAAAGGAGATAAGGTTTTACTGGATTAATAAGAATTTTCCAGAGGACTAACACCTGACAACCATATAAAATGTATCCAATTAGTACAAATAGCTCTTAAGTTTAAATTACTAATATGCACAAAATTCTTGGACTCAGCCTTTAAATGCTCAATAATTCGGCTTTTCACTCACTCACGAATTCAGATCAGTCCGAAGGAGTCCCACTGGGCAGCATCAATGACTACAGGGCGTGGCTGGCCTGGATACCATTTGCTGAGCAGTTAGAACAAGTAGATGGACACTCAGGCAACAAGGCAAGGTAGGGATGAACGTGTAAGCAGGAATTCTACCCTAACTGGAAACTTACAGTGTTTCTTCTCATTAAGCCAGTACCTTTTCCCCATTAGTGACATTAATATAAGGCAAGCCTGCCAGCTGAACACTGGACACCAGTAGGACTCTAAAAAGTGTGTCTGTATTTCAGGGCCCCTGGTGAGCAGCTGTCTGTACTGGGCACCATGGTGCCCAGCTGTACCTTGCCTTTTCATCAGTGATTTCATGATTTCCATGAAGTTTATGGAGCAAGGCAGATTTTCATCTGAACAGATCTCAGCAATATTCAGTGAACCATACAAAACACAGGTCTATTTTCACTGCTCCTACTCTCTGATCAGCATGCATTGTTCTTGAAGCATTTACAGAACACAGAACTGACCTCCTTGGGAACAGAAGAGGACGTTAAGATTGGGCCACCCTGTTCCAAATTTGGGTAGTGTCAGAGGACAAAGCTTGGGGTCTGGGAACAACTTGAACATTTTCATTGCCTTTGGGCCTTGGCTTAAAGCAGAAACCAGACTCCTCCTCAAACTCCACAGCACATGTTGAAAACCCTGTAAACAAGTGACTACAACAAGAGGCCATGGCAGAGTGCCCAGATGCCACTGGGAGGGAATGGCCGAATTAGAAGGCAGTGATAGCTAGAGTTGGAACTGTCCCTCTTCTAGAGGAGAGAGAAATCGCTGTCACCAGAATGCTTGCGTTGCTTTCTCCAACATCAGCAGGAATGTGCACTGACATTTGTAACTCATGCACATTGGATGGCACAAGCACCCCACGCAGGAGCCAAAGCCACTACTGCAGACCCGTTCCCAGTTCTGCTGGCAGATGACACACCAACATTTAGATGACAACCAAGGTGATATGAACTCCAAACACATAGCATTAGAAGTCTACATTATGTCAGAATGAGGCAAATTGGACAAATGGACAAACTGCATCAGAGGTAGCTCAGTGCCACTGCTAGAATTTACGGTCAGAACAAAAAAGAATCCATACACTTCAGTACTAGAAAATAGGACCATGAAGGGAGGAGAGGGGTGTTGTTACTTTCAAAAAAACCAAGCCAGGTGGGGGCTGGAGAGCACAGCAGCCGTCAGAGTGGCCTTGGCGCCCTTCTCCCTCAGTGGTTAATCTAGGTCAGAGCCTGGTTTGCTGTTAAACGTGCGCCTCTGCAGGTGCTACTGGCTGAGAACGCTGCATAGCCCTTGGAGATCTAAACCGCAAAAACCTGCACACACTCTACATCAACAACTATCTTTCTGGGCTTAGAGCAGTAACACCAGCTGTTTTCCTTAAACACTTATTGTCCCTATCGTCCCTTCTACGTTTTTGTTCAGGTGAGCCTCGGAGCAAAGCCCGTGGAGTGGCGGGGCGGAGGATTGGGCTAAGAGATCAAGGCACAGAAGCAGCTTTTAGCAAAACCGGTGTTAGAGTGTGTCGGCCACCGCGGTAGCACATTATCCCAGCCTCGCGACATCACAGAGACACCTGGCCGCAGCAAGAGGACGGTTCTGTGTGGCCAGGCAAGGACAGCCCCTCACAGGGCACCAGGAGTCGGGCTCCCAGACCCAGAGCCTCCCTGTGAGGTCCTCAAGGCCCACGCTTCCACCTCCGTCATCCCCAATCCCTCCATTCTCCCAAGGAGGCGGCGCCCGCCCCGCATTCCCGCTGACTGGCAGGCGACGCGGCGACTCCCGTAGCCTGCTTTTTGCTTGGCAACCCGGGCCGAAGCGGCAGTCGTGCGGCAGCCAATGGGCACCCAGCCCCGGAGCTGGCGGGGAGGAGGTGCGGTCATGTGCCCGGTGCAGCGGTTGAGTGCAGGTGAGCCGCAGCGGCTCCAGCGAGCGCCCCCGGCTCCCACCACCTCCCCGCAGTTAGCTTCCCGGCCCTCCTTCCCCGAACCCCAGACCGATGTGGACTGACCCGAATTGCAGCGAGGGTGAGTCCTGGACGAGGGGAGGCTTGGATGGGTGGGTGTGGGGAGGCTCATGCGGTTCCTGGGGAGCCCCAAAGCTGTCGCCTTTAGTTGACAGGGAGTCCACGCTGGGGAGCCGCTGTCCTGGAGGCCTGCGAACTGGGAAGGTACCCGACGCAGGTCTTATATGGGCGCTGGGATGGACTGCAGGTGAAGAGGATGAGGCGATGCCTCCCCTCCCTCCCGTGGAGGTCCACCTGCTCCTTATAAACCCGCTGTTCCTTAATGTGCCGATTTTAGCCCTTACATTGGCCCTACGCCCTCTAGGTTTCCTACGCTCTTGGCAGAGGTAAAAGGGTTCTGGAACACACAGAAAAACAGCCCCATTAAAAGCCTGGACTGAGATTCAGGGAAACCACCGCTTAAAGCAACATTTTGTGCTTGAAAAAGAAGTCCTGGCTGTTCTCCTCCCCACCCCCACTTCTGTTCGCTGCTCTCTCTGTGGCAAGCTTTACTCAGCACTTCACACTGGCTTACTTGCTTTGTCCTAGGAAAGCAGTCTCTCCTGCATAACTACACGAAACACGTGGCACGTGATTTTCACCTACTCGGTCGCCGCAAGCTTTCCTGGTTATAGGAAGCTGGAAGAGAAGATTGAGGGCAGAAAGGGGTGAGAGAGGAACCATCATGGGCTAGATGGGTTTTGTAGTTCCCTATCCACAGTTCTCTATTTTTGTTAATATTCCTTCCAGAATTGGGGTGGGGTAGAGAGGGAATTACCATTTAAGAAACACGTTTAATTTTCAAATCACTGTCTTGAGGACAATACCTAAAAGAGTTCCAGCTTTAATAAACTCCATGTATGATGAAGTCACACTTGAAAACAAAACAGAATTATCGACCTTGGCCAATACACATGTTATACACGTTCCAGTCAGCTGTGCTTCTGGAAGCAAAGCCAGTGTATTGGTCACCTCTCTCTACAGCTTAGGAAGGCAAGACTTGATCTATTTGTTTAGATTTTAAAATGCCTTCAGCATGTTCAAATTAGAAATAAATCAGAAGATGAATTCGATTTCTTTAACAACATATGGCTCGATCTAAATTTTCATGGATTTTTAAATGTTTCCATGTCAGAGTGGACAGGAAAGAACTGAAGATCCCGGGCTGATGTGCAAGCCTGATGAGAATTCACAGCGTTGCAGATTAGGTATTCACATTACCACCTGTTAGCTTTCTTAGATACAATAGAGGCTCTCATATGCAGATCCAAGAACAAAACAAAACCTTGACCCAAAGAGATTTATTTTACACATATCACCAGTAACATTAGGAAGATTAACATCAAATTTCACAATTATTTATTGCAAAATAGTTACGTTTAAACTTAGTTTAGAATCACTTGTGTAAAGGCAGCCATGATTTGATTATTAATAAATGAATCCAGGTTGCATTCCAAAAATAAATTTGAATTTCATGCATTTGATTTCACTTCAGGAGACCCAGTTGATCTACTTTCTTTTCTCTAGTAATATCTCTAACCCTCATTAATCCAAACATTAGCTTTGTCCTTCTCTGTAAATCTACCTTTCAAATAAAAATAAATCTTTCCCAAAAAATTGGCTCTGAATCTGAAATGGAATGCACAAGTAATGGATTTACTCAAGATTCTTCCTTGTTGCTATGACTTGTTCTAGTAATAATGATAGGTATGATCATAGGGATTTTACTATAAGCTGCAGATTTTCAAGTGACAAGCCTGAGTGAGACTGAAAATGTTTCTTTAAAAGCTGTATGTAAATTTTATCACATTTTAACATCCTCTTGGGAAGCTCACTTAAATACTTCCGTTGAGGAGTATTTTGATATATTCATGGAAAGTAAGCTGGCTTAAAAAATGTAGCTAAACAACTTATAAACTTATGTTTATAAACATGCAAGCACAGTCCCTGCTAACCATGGAGTTCTGTACCCTGATTCTTCCAGGCTGTATTTTTGTGAGACAGCTGGGATTATTAAACACCCACACACTCAGTTTGGGGCAAAGGATACAAGAAAAAAAAAAAATCAATGCTGTTAACTTCTTTATGTTTTTCTACAGATTTTCTTACCTTGAAGTGATCAAGTACTTTGAAAATGACTTCAAAGCTTGTCTCAGTGGCCCTCATACTTGCTGCACTAACTCTTGAAACCACATTTTCTCTCCAACCAGACCCGCAAAAGGTTCTACTAGTTTCATTTGATGGATTCCGTTGGGATTACTTATACAAAGTTCCAACACCCAATTTTCATTATATCATGCAATCTGGCGTGCATGTGAAACAAGTTACTAATATTTTTATTACCAAGACCTACCCTAACCATTATACCTTGGTAACTGGCCTCTTTGCAGAGAATCACGGGATTGTTGCAAATGACATGTTTGATCCTGTTCTGAACAAATCTTTCTCCTTGGATCACATGAATATTTATGATTCTGAGTTTTGGGAAGCAGCAACACCAATATGGGTCACCAATCAGAGAGAAGGACATAGTAGCGGTGCGGCCATGTGGCCTGGAACAGATGTAAAGATACATAAGAGCTTCCCTACTCACTATATGCCTTACAATGAGTCCACGTCATTTGAAGACAGAGTTGCCAAAATTATTGAGTGGTTTATATCAAAAGAGCCCATAAATCTTGGTCTTCTCTATTGGGAGGAGCCTGATGACATGGGTCATGATCTGGGACCTGACAGTCCACTCATGGGGCCTGTCATATCAGATATTGACAAGAAGTTAGGATATCTCATAGAAATGCTGAAAAAGGCAAAGCTGTGGAACACTGTGAACTTAATCATCACAAGTGACCATGGGATGACCCAGTGTTCTAAGCAAAGGGTCATAGAACTTGACCAGTATGTGGATAAAGAACACTACACCCTCATTGACCGATCTCCAGTAGCAGCCATCTTGCCCAAAGAAGGTAAGCCTGAACCCCAGGTGCGTGGTGACCAGAGGCCAGTCTGCTTGGCTGGTGTGATCACCAGACGAGGAGATTGCTGCTTGCTTGGCTTTGTTACAATAATATTCTGGGATTTAATCCCAAGACACTGAGAAGACAAGGATCTCCTTTCAGGGTCATTTTTTTTCCCCCTAGACAACCTATAACAGCAGGTTTTAACCATTTTGGAGGCAAAGATTATGAGGAAAACTACAGCCTCCCCTCTTAGTAATATTGAGACACAGGAATATGCACAAAATTTGAATTCAATTGCAGTGATTTTCTAGAAGCCCTCTGTAGATCCTGGCTTAATAAGGAAACAGCAGAGAGTAAGACAGGAGAAAGCTTTGGTCAGTCTGAGACTCATAAGCCTGCTCCTTATTTCTAAGTAGGAAAGGTGGTAACAAGGCCCGGGGTCTTGTCCTCATGAGGAATCTTGATACCGAACCTGTCACTATGGCATCACTACCATTTTTATTGCAAAGTCAGACATACAGAGAGGAGGAGAGACAGAGAGGAAGATGAGGAATATCTTCTGTCCATTGATTCACTCCCCAAGTGGCCACAACGGCTATAGCTGAGCTGATCCGAAGCTAGGAGTCGGGAGCCTCTTCTGGGTCTCCCACGCAGGTGCAGAGCCCCAAGGCTTTGGGCTGTCCTCCACTGCTTTCCCAGGCCACAAGCAGGGAGCTGGATGGGAAGCAGGGCTGCTGGGATTAGAACTGGTGCCCATATGGGATCCTGGCACGTTCAAGGTGAGGACCTTAGCCACTAGGCTACCATGCCGGTCCCATCACTGCCATTTTTAAAGAGAGGCAAAGGAGGTGAAAATGTCCAACATGTTTAAGTCACATGACTCATATCTGCTCTTCAGATTTACGTTTTATATTGTATCACCTTGTGGCCTTGAGTATCAGATAAGAGAACAGATTTTAAAGAGTTGGAATAGCAAATGAGAATTTTCTCTCTCATGAATTCAGAGAATAATATGAAAGAACAAATGGTAGATGGTGTGTGTACGTCTACATGCAAACTTCTCATCAAACAGCAAATTTTTTCCTTGTTCAAGAAAAACCACATTGGCTTTTGATTTCCTTTGTATAACTGGAAGGGTGTTTCTCTTGGTGATGTGTGGGAGTTGGGGACAAATCACTAATAAATTAATTTAAAAAGCAAGGAAAGGATTAAAGGCAAGGCCCAGGCGTATCGTATCTGAAATGACAAATGCCCAGCATTTTGAAGATTTTTTCTATATGGCAAGCTGCTTTCCACCTCCAGTTCATGATTTTCTAGCTTCCAACCTCTACTTACCACATTTTTGGGGGGGTTGTAAAGATTGTTTGTCCCTGTACCCACGACTATAAGAACCTGGCTCTTAGTTTTTGAATATTGCACTTCCTTGGACATTTTACTTCATGCCATCAACAATTAAGACACATGTATATAAGTGCGTATGTAAAGGAAGGAATCTTTCAAAAGTTAGCAGAAAATAAGAAAGCAATACATTATTTCCAAATACATTTGCTCTAAAATAAACATTTGATATCATTTTGCCAGGAGCTTCTTGAAGTATCCTTGAATATATGTACCTCAATTAGATATTACAGATTTCTAGTTCTATAAAATGCCCTTTCAATTATGTAAGGTGAATTGATTTACCATGTGTGTTTCATGGCCAGCTGTATTTTACTGTATTTAGTTTCTTGGTCTCTCCTCTCAGCAGGGGTCCCTGGTTTCATTGCTTATGGAGTTTTGGTAGTGAGTGTCTTGTTCTGAGGGCCTGTACCTTCTCTCCAGGTAAACTTGATGCAGTCTACGAAGCTCTAGCTCATGCCCATCCTAATCTTACTGTCTACAAAAAGGAGGAGATTCCTGAAAGATGGCATTACAAATACAACGATCGAATTCAACCCATCATAGCAGTGGCTGACGAAGGGTGGTATATCTTACAGAATAAGTCAGATGAATTTCTATGTGAGTATGTTATAGTATTTCTTCCCATTCTCCATCGTTTTTTACTGACTTGGAGGCTGTGGATAATACAGCAGTTCACTTGCTGAAGTTTTTCCTCTGCTACTTAACTGTTTAAGGAACTGTGTTGTGACAATGATTATCTATAAATGCTTTTTAGACATAGTTCTTGACATAAATATATATAAGAAATGTAAAAAAAAAAAAGAAAAAAAACCCCACTCTCAGTTGGAATGAGTTCCTGTTATTTTTATTGGCTACAAAAAGAAAAAAAAGCATTTGCCTGCAAATGGCATTTGTGGTGCAACTATGACTCATGTAGCAGTCAGTGTCTTAACAGTTTTCACATATTCGCGATGACACCTAAATCAATATTTAATCCTGTCAGGCAAGATGTTCCAAAATGTCCTTTAAAAATTATTTTCTTGCATGAGATAATTTCTACGCTTATATGTTCAGATTGTCTTGTAATATGGGGATAGCGCTGTGTTACAGGAACAGCTCAAAAAGGAACTGTTGTCTTTGAGGAGAGTTGTATTTAACAATTGACATAGAAATTTTGACTTGGTGAACTTTAATACATGATCTATTGGTTACCTGTTTTTTGGTTAAAAACAAAAACACCTTAATAATGCTCCTTGTATTGTATTGTGTTCATTTATTCAACAAATAAGTACATGCTGTCCTCTCCAGTCACTGTCAGCCAGAGAGTTCTAAGACAAGGAAGCACTAACAGCCAAAAGCAATGGTTCTTAAAGTGTGTTCTCTCATTCGGCAGGATCCACTCCACCTGGGACCTTGTAGACACACAAACTCTCAGGCCCAGCTCAGCCTCGCTGAGTTAGGAGACCATGAGTGTAGTGCCTAGCAGTCATTGTTTTCACATGTGCCCTTCACTCCCACACAATGACGCTCGAGAGGCATTGCACTTAGCATCGGTGTTAAATATCGTGTACTGGACCAAGCTTGCATGGCTGGGGCAATCACACTGACCAAGTCCTTCTCTGTAAGAAGGACTTCATATAAATCACATGTGTTACTTTCAAGTCCACTTTTCTAAACAAGATGTGTGATTGGAGACAGTTGCATTGCCTTTGTGATGAAAGTCTAGACCTTACCTTCTCATAGAAATGAATGCAAGCATCCATTCAATTCTTTATTATATGGTAACATGTTTCACAACATTACTATCCATAAGCTTAGTAGAATGGCACAGTCCCCTGCCAGATAACTGCTAGTGATTCATGAATCCAACATTGTTTTCATGTGAATAAACTCAAAAGGATTGTAGCATTTAGAATAACTTCTTCAGATGTGTTTGCATGGAATATTTCAAATTATTTTGAGATGACTAGCCATTAGTTCATAAGTTTCAAAGAAACTGGTTTAGGATGGGGGGCTATAGTCATGCTCCCATTGAATATTTCCTTGTAATAATTATGAGAGCTTGATTCACCCATCATTCTCCTTGCCTCTTGTAAAATAAAGCTTGCCATTCTTTGTGGGTTTCCATCTTAACAGCAGCAGCTCCTACTCGTCTTGTATCTTCTTGTTACACCGATCCTACAGGCCTTTATTATGTGATATCTACCCTTCAGTTTTGCATCACTTGGTACACATTCCAAGAGTAAAGTTTTTATTTCCTTTATATCCATCCTAAATTCCACAATGCTGAACTAGATCCTGATCTGAATCAGCAAAGTTGAGATTTTCTTTCACTCTGTTTACAAGTACTGACCTTTAACTCTTTTAGGAGTGGATTGTATCTATAACAGGAGGTTTGGTTTTGTTGTGTCTTTGTTTTTCTGTATGTAGCTTTTGTGCTTCCTTTTTAATTTTGAATTGATCTTCATGTTTAAGATGAAAAGCACCTTACTCCTTTTCATTTAGAACAACTGGAACATAGTACGTAGCAAATAAATATTGATGTACTGATTGCTCCCCCATCCCTGTCCTGCAAAAATCCTCCTTCTTCCCTGATGTGGCTCAGCTTTGCTCTTCACCCTGTCTTCTCTGCAGCTTAAGACAATGTTGGCTTGGGAGAAAGATCTGTGATCTTTAACTTTTCATTTCCTGGAGTGAATGGTGGAATTGACAACTGCAGAGATTGTTTGTAAAAGATTATTTTATTTTTTATAGTCAAATTAGATAAGATCTGCATTTAAGTTCAGCACTTGACCATATGAATACAATTATTTCCATTTCAGTGCCATCTGGTTGGTTAACTTATTCATGCATTTTCTCTTTACAGTAGGCAACCACGGTTATGACAATGCATTAGCAGAAATGCATCCAATATTTTTAGCCCACGGTCCTGCCTTCAGAAAGAATTTCACAAAAGAAGCCATGAACTCCACAGATCTGTACCCACTGATGTGCCACCTCCTCAATATCACTGCTATGCCACACAATGGATCATTCAGGAATGTCCAGGATCTGCTCAATTCAGCAACTCCAAAAGCAATTCCTTACACACAGAGTGCTACCCTCCTCTTTGGTAGTGACCAACCAGGAGAATATGAACCAGAGGAGGCATATCCTTACTTCATAGGGCTTGCCCTTGGCAGCATTATAGTGATTGTATTTTTTGTAATTTTCATTAAACATTTAATTCGAAGTCAAATGCCTATCCTACAAGATATGCAGGCTGAAATAGCTCAACCATTATTACAAACCTAATGCAGCTTGGAAGTGGAATTGCATATTGAGCAGAGATTGCATAATTATGTCAGTGTTCAAAGGTTTCGGTTCTAGGAAACGAGTCCCAAACATTTGCAGAGGCCATCAAGCAGTCTTATACATATTTAGCCACAGCCACACACACACACACTCAGACACACATAGATGGACCAAAATGCTTATAAAGCCTTAATGTCTCCATTATTCTCTTTAGCTTAGCGGTATATAAGATCCCGCTTTATTTGGACTTGGCACATATAATGTCTATATTTGGCAACTTTGCACTATATAAAGTACCTTATGCATTGCACTTTACACTCCAAGTGGGTACTTTTCTTCGAAATGCACTTTATGGACATTTCTTAACTTGGTTGAAAACAATTTTTTGCATTCATTTCAAAAAATAGTTATTGCTCACACTGAATACAATTTCTAATAATTCAATATTAATATGAATATCACCTAAATTTAGAGAATAAGAAGCAGCTAAAACTGTTGAAATCTAAATGTGACAACAGCAGATTGCATCTGTGGGCATTTTTTTTGTGATATTTTTTCCCAAAGAACATTTCATTTACTTTTTTTCCCCTAGAAAGGATCCAAATACAGACAGATTCATTCTGAACATTTTGTTTCTGTCAGTGTAGTCGTATGACTCAGAAATGGTAATGAAGACACAGGAATACACATCTCTTTCCCATGTAGCCTAACAATGGCCTGGATAAAATAGATCAGGTACCATCTCCACAATGTCTTGTCTTGTCTGTAATTACTTGCTTCTTTGGAAATTAAATCACTAGTAATCACATTAAAATTAAATCAGATATAAAAATGCTTGTTTGTTTGTTTTTCTGATAGCAGCTAAGATTTGAGTATTTGAAGATCCATAATTGCAAAAGAGCACAAATCATAGTAAATAAAGTAAAAGCCATTTGCTCCTTAAAAGGAGCTGTGGGGAACATGAGGGAAAATCAGGCAGGACCTAAAATGTTCAGTCCACAACCAGAACAGTAGGAAAAGGTGCCCAGGATCAAAATCCACGGAAATAACTTAGTGATCATAGGTATTAAACGACAGAGGAGCTGGGATCATGTAGCACTGCAGAAATAATTGATGGCCTGCTTAGCAGGTGCTCAGTGAAATTAGAGGTGAATCCAACACAATGAGACTTCTAACTTCTGAGTAGCTTTTTTCTCCTGTCATTTAGGGTCCTCTTCCAACAACATAATGTTAGGCTTTAGATCTCTAGGTAGTAAAGAAATATGAAAGGCATAATGGAGCTCTCAGAAGAAGAGTTTTTCTGGAAGAAAATAGAAAGCAGTTGATAGACACATGGCCCAATAAATACTAACATGATCTTATGTATGTTATGCACCAGTTGTTTTCTAAGTAGATAAAATGATATATTAAACTATCCTTTTAAAAAGGCAGTGTGATAATGAAAACAAGTGACATAGATAAAAAGAAGGGGTGGTATTTATAGTATAGCAAGTTAAGCTACCGATTGAAGCACCTGCACTTCATATCCAGGTGTTATATCAAGTTCTAGATGCTCGAATTCCAACCCTTCTTCCAGCTTATGCACACTGAGGCAGCAGGAGATGGCTCCAACCCTTGAGTCCCTACCATACATTTGCTAAAACACATGGAGTTCTTGGCTTCTTCCTGGCCCAGCCCTGGCAACTGTGGGAATTTAAGGACTACACCAGTGGATAGAAAATCTTTTATCAATCTGCTTTTCAAATAAATGAAGTAAAATTGAATTTAAATGCTTCTAAATTGAGTGTATTTTTATACAATAAAAAAATAAATGATAATAGCACTTAACTCTCTTGTTTCATTAAAATCCTCTGAAAGCATAGGACTGAATAGTTGTGTTCTGTTTTCTAAAATAATAATAAAAGCTGAGAACATGTTAGGTAGCAAGCTCTCCAGAAGTTTAGCCTCAGTTAGATAATCCTAGAGTCAGTGAGTATGCATGCTGATTTGCTTTCTAGTTGTGAAATTCCCTCATCACATGCCAGCACACAGTAGTTCTGCAAGGAACGAGACTGAAAGACAGGCACTGAAAAAATTAGAAACAACACAAGATTCAAGGAACTGTGGACCAGGGAGCTCAAAGCATTGCAAGATGCAAAAACCAAAAGTCGCTTTATTGTTTCTTCCAATTCATCATTACGCAGATATGAGGGTCTTTTGCTCCTTTGCTAGTCACATCAAGCGGTCGGTGACAATCACCACTAGGTACACTTAGTGACACACAGTTTTATTTTTTTCTACTCCACGCGCTGAGCCCTCCGGTTTTCTATAACTGACATTCCTGTTAACCCGGACCTGTGACTTCAGGGCCCCTATGACAACCAAAGGCAAGCATTCCATACATCTATCCATGCTCTAGTCAAGCAGGTTCTCTGTCAGACAGCCCTCTGCCCTGACCTCGGTCCCACAGTTAACTAGTGAAGAACAAAGAAACAGTCTAATCAACAAGTTTAAGTAATTTACCAGACAGACAATTGCCTACCTAAAACTCAGTCCTTACTAAGGTTAGGTTAGGTTAAACTAAAAAGTTAGTATAGTTATGAAACCCTAGCGCTTCATTATTAAGATGTCAATGGAATAGCTAAATATTCAAATACTATTTAATACGCTATCTGTACATTTATTTGTTGCGTTAAAGTTCATATCAGAATGTGTTATTACCTTAGTATTAAGAGGAAAGTTAATTCTGAGGGCAGGTGTTGTGGTACAACAGGCAAAGCCAGTGCCTGTGAAGCAGGCATCCTGCAGGAGTGCCAACTCAAGTTCTGGCTGCACTATTTCTGGCCCACCTCTCTGTCAATGTACCTATGAAAGCAGTGCGAGATGCTGCAAGTGCTTTAGCTGTTGCCACATGCATGGGACACCTGGCACCTGGATGGGCTTTCTCGGCTTTTGGCTTCAGCCTAGCTCATCAGTGGCTGTTGCTCCCAAGTGAACCAGCAGTCGAAGCTCTTTCTGTCTCTCCCTCTATCTCTCAAATAAATAAATTTGTGTAAAAACTTGTGCAATACTGATGAAAGTATTAAAATTCTGCTATGAAGATTGGGTTATTGAATGATTTACTTCTACATATTTATTTTCCTATATAATATTGGCAGAAGAATTTTAGAGAAAAATTCATCACTCATCATAATTTAATTGGATTTTATTGGCTTTTACCGACAGGGTCAAATTTTGGATGTAATGCACATACATCACATGAAAATAAAATGTAGATTAGTCAATATAATCGTCAAGATTATTAAAAATAAAGTAATGGAAGTTTATTCCATTTTGATTCCACATCCTACTCCAACAGCCATGTCATAAAATTTGATATTTTTCAATACGTGTTTTCACAATGTCTTCTTCAACACCTGGTATTTAGGTTTAGGCTGCTTTTCAAAACCCCTTAATGCAAAAATAACATCCTACTATGAGTTTCTTGTAAGAACTTCCTTCTAGAAAAATCTAATGGAAGATTTATAGGTCTCAAACTTTTCAGTTGTTTGTTAACTGAAATAGTCATAATACTAGGAAGCATCCAAGGAACCATTCTCTTCCTGATTGAGCAAGGGCCTTTTGCAAATCTGTGAAATGACTCGCATGCCAGGAGAGCCAGAGCTGGAAGCAGGACTCATGTTTCCTGGGTTGGTTTATACTCAAAACCAGACTGTGGTCTAGGCTGGTTTGCTTCTGTTTCATCTTGAAGTGTAGCCCTTTGAGATCCCACCTAATGTAAGAAGTGGTTAAGCCAAGTTCCACATGTGGGAGCTACTGCTCTAGCCTTTGACCATCAGCTGTGTATGACTTGTGCTCTTCCAAACTGGCCATGCCCCCAGATAAAAATAGTTCTTTAAATGACATCTAAGAATTTCCATCTTCTCAGATTCCCACCCTGGTAATTCTCATTACATTGTATGCAATTCAATGCTTTTAGACAGTGATTTAAAGAGGTTTTTTTTTTTTAAGATTTCCTTATTTTTGTTGTAAAGTCAGATATACAGAGAGGAGAAGAGACAGAGAGGGCAATCTTCCATTTAATGGTTCATTCCCCAAGCGGCTGCAACAGCTGGAGCTGAGCCAATCCAAAGCCCAGAACCTGGACCTCTTTCGGGTCTCCCACGCAGGTGCAAGGTCCCAAGGCTTTGGGCTGTCCTCAACTGCTTTCCCAGGCCATAAGCAGGGAGCTGAATGGGGAGCGGGGCTGCTAGGACATGAAATGGCACCCATATGGGATCCTGGCACATGAAAGGTGAGGACTTTAGTGACTACACTACTGTGCCAGGCCCTTTAAGAGTTATTTAGGTTTCTGGTCAGGACAAGCTAGCAAAGACTTGCTTTCCCTTGATCCTCTACACCTAGCATAGCTATAAAGTTTAAAAATGGTTTGAGAAATTCTGCAAGATGTTAAGTGAGGCTGGTTAGGACCACAGGGCTGGGGAGACAGCACAGAGGCAGCCCTTCACGTTCTATGAAAACATAGAATCTGTGTTTCCCAACCACCATCTAGCAAGGCAATAGCCATTCATAATAGCAATAAGATTCGTAATCCCTGGGGTCAAAGAGAAACCTCTCTGGCAACATCAGGTAAGTCCATACCACTAGCAAGGGGAATTAACTAATCAAGGGTATCGATGGGGTGGCCAGGAAAAGAAGTGGCTAGGAAAAGCATTCTCCTTCCACATCACTGGGACTGGGACTCTTCTTCCACTCGGACATACAGGGGTGCGCAGGCAGAACCTGCGAGAGGCTCAAGTACAGTGCACAGGTCTAAGACTCCTCCCACACTCAGACACTAGCATGAATAGTCAACACCTACAAAAGGGACCTACTGGGCTCAGCGTAGTAGCCTAGCAGGTAAAGCCACCTCCTGAAACCCCAACATCCCATAGGCGCATAGTTCAAGTCCTGACTGCTCTCTTTCCCATTCAGATCCCAGCCAATTCACCTGGGAAAGTAGCAGATGATGCACTTCAAAAGGATCATTTGTATTTGGGGGTGATCATCTTTAAACACCACACAATTGGGTACAGTTGGTATCACTCAGCTCTCTCATGTTGGTTGTTGTTGGTGGTCTAATTGCCACAATTATAGCACTAAATTCTTGGGCTGAGGTTACAGATGTTTTAGGAAGTGTGTATTGTGAACACCTTTTAAGTGATGACTTTCTGGTCTTCTGGAGATGCTGTGAAGATGACTGTTGGCTGTCACTACTGGTGTTCCAGCTTGCTCATGGTCAGTGTGCGTGGCACGGTATATTCTGTCATTTCACTTTCAGTTTTGTATCCTTATATTTAAAACATGTAGACTACTTGAATATTTTTTCCAGCTAATTTGATTATTTCTGCCTCTACATTAAAATGTTCATTCTATATTTAACGCCTGATGCTTTTGGATTAGTTTTGCAATGTTTTTATATTTTTCTCATTTGAAAGTCTTTTTTTTTTTGGTACTGTCTTTATCAGATTTGATATGTTAGATTTCACTACAAAAAAACCGATTTTGTTCCTAGAACATCAGTGTTATGAAAACAAATACAACAGTGATATTTAAACCTGATAAGGAAACAGTACAAAGGGTTATCCATCTTTAGGACAACTTTCCTATATGCTTTTACAAAAACTGGATGGGTAACTACATGAGATGACAGATATTTTTAATTCACTTCACCACAGTAATAATCTTACTACCTTTATGTATCTTGTAATATGTTGTACACCTTAAACACATACAATAAGATTTTGTTTAAAAATAATTTTCATAGAAATTGGCCTGTTTTAGTTTCCTTTCTCTACTAAAGATAACCTCTTACAGTACTACTTTCCTTGGAAATTAGTCATTTCACTTATATTTTATGATTGATTTTTGCCAAACAGCATCACTTAGATTCTTAGGAGATTTAATTTTTTTTTTTCTTAAATGTGTGCTTGCCTCCATCAACTCACCTTTTTGATCAGGTTAGCCTCTTAGCTGCATCTTCTAAAATTCAGATGACATTTGGGGCTCACATTTACATTTCTTCCTTCTTCTGAATCTTAGCCCTCATTCTTCACTTTCCCAGGATTTTCTCCATGCCTGGGCACAAAGCTGTTACATTTTTCTAGATTTTCCAGTCCTTAGAAAGAGGGTTCATTTGAATTACAGTCTGCCTTTAATAGGAAAAGAATTCCTACAAGTTTTCTTACAACCAAAACCAAAACAAACAAAAAATGGGGGAGGGACAGTCTTCACAGAAATATGCAAGACGAAACATTCACACACACACACACACACACAGATTCACTCTCTGCAGAGGATCATTTATTACTGTCTGATAGAGACCCCTTTGTGTGGGTCTGCATATGTTTGAAGCTAATTTCTACTGAACCTTTTTCAGCACCTGGTTCCAGAAGTGTGGTTAAACACAGCAGTTATGAAAAGAATGCTTATTAGGCAATGTGTAATTCAGATTTGTAACACAAGAGGGAGGTCTGGCCTGGAGATTTGCATCCTGGAGCTATCAATGGAAGAGCTCACAAAGTTCAGTTTCCTGAAGATGGAAACCAAATTTCAAAGACATAGGACATGTGGAACACCGGGTCTGCTAGAAGTTTGGCTTGCTCTTTGGGTACAGACTCTGCTTTTGACTTCTTGGTAGTTTTGATCATGGGACATGAGTCAGTACGAGGTGGGGACCACTAGGTTCTACTCTTAAAATCATCCATGTAGAGGTATACACAAACATACACAGATCATTTCAGTTCTTACATACTCTGTCAAGCAGTGTGTGTGCTGGCAGGGAGTGCAAAGAAAGGGGCTGTGATGACACGCAACCCAAGCACTAAGGATGCTGGGCCTGGGGAAATAGGCCAAACTGGCATCCACTGATTCTGAATAGGAGGATCTCAGCACACGAGGTAAGTCATGAGTACATAGAAGTAACTTGCTCAATTTCAAAGAATTCTTTTCCAGAGTTATTTTTTATTTTCCTTTGCTTTCCAAGGTGCACAGCAGTGTTCACTGTGTGTAAAGCAGGAAATAATTAATCGCCGCTCTACCAGAGGGAATTTTGCTTAATCTATTTGCATTTGGCCAAGTCATTAAAATATCTATGGCTATAAACTATAACTATTGTAACCACCCTCCATCATATCACTACTGTTTGGTAATCATTTTTTTCAAACTTACTCCCTTCCACCGTAGGCCAATAAGTTCGTTGTTGTTTTTGTTTTGTTTTTCTGTTTTAGCTTTCAAAGTTCCACAAAATTTACCTTGGCTTTCTTCCCAGCTATGTTCTTATGATGGATTTGTATTCCATAGTGCTTTAAATTGGAGTAACTATTATAAGTCTATATATGGGTTACTTAAATAAACTGTAATGAATGCCTCTGAAGGATTCTGCAGTAATATTAAGTAATGAGAAGACATCACAAGACATGTATTTCACAAGAAGGTAACAAAATTAAAAATCATTAATAATATTGTTGTTTATAATTAATTATCATAACAAGAATGTTTTGGTAAATTTTATTTAAACAGATGTTTGAATCATACACAAAATCATTACGCAAACAATGTAGCCAAAATACACTGTACTTTAACTTAAGGCACTACATATGGATTTCTTTAAAGCACACTCGTGTTATTAATACACCATTTTAAGAAGTGACAATAAATACAACTTTTATATCTTACCTTTGTCCTCCATTTGTAATTTTATATAGTAGCAATAAAGTAAAATTCTACAAATAAAAGAAATTAGACACAAACATTATTTAAAGCTTACAAGAGATGGGCAAGACAGAAGAAAATACCCCGAACACTGCAAAGGCATTCTAGTCCTTCAATGTTCCGAGACTGTTCTGTAGATTCTTACAACAAGCCTAACAGAATAACCCAAAGCCCAAAGCACAGTGCACTGAAATATTTTTGTTTTTTTGTTGTTTACCAAAAGACCTTATAGATGAACAACAATAGCCCAACTGCTCCTATGTTATAAATAAATGTGCTTATTTTGAAATAACCAAAACCTCTTCATCAAATAGTCTTCTGTCTATTTTTGCATATTATTGTCATAAACAACGAAATGTTTCCTAAGGTCAAATACTTCTTGCCACTCAAAGACACAGCAGCATCTTAGTCAATTATTTAACAAAAATACACTCCAAACTTTACAAGACTAATTTTATTACAGGATTTTTCCCAGTGTTCTCCAGGAATCATTGGCTTCAACAGTGATCATTTTTATATAAATACACAAATGAATTAACACAAAGTTCATTATAATATAAATACTTCTCTTTGATTAAATAAATATTATTCTTGTCCAACACATACTTTTAAACATTTACCTAATTTAAAATTAAATATTGGGAGAATGGGATGAAAAACAAGACAAATAGTTGAGTCTTGCTGATCGGGTAAATATACTGGCCAAGAGAGCTCTTCCTATTCCATCCTCTGAAAGCCACTCCCAGGCTGGATGCCATATTCACGTTCTTGAAACTCACAGGAAACTATCACACTAACGCAACCACTGAGACTTGGACCACTGCAAGAACAAAGTTCCACTCAACAAGTACAAACTATTCTGCCCCTATTTTAGAGGCTTTAAACATGCTCTGCATGTGAAAGAAACAGAGCTTTAAATGGAGTTCTATTCTTTAATAAACATTCAAATAGAAATGGCATTGTACTATCTTATTTAGACAAACTAGTAACCTTTAGAATAACTTTTATGTGAGGAAAAAGAAACAAAAATAAAATTCATCAAAAATGTAATGTTACTATGAATTATTTATGCCAGGCATGGAAATACTTCTCAAAACCTCCAGATAACACAGACACCAAATGCAGTGAGCAGTGACCCTACAGGATGCGTCTGTGTCCCATGAAGGGCACCGCCATCATTTCCACCATCATACATAACCAACACGTAGCTGCGCTGCCTGTGTATTGCATTTCCAAGGTTAGATTTGTAGCTGCAATGACATTTATTTTAGCTTGTTAGAACTTTAAATATCACACTATTAATTTCTTGCCTCAGATTCTGACAAATGGTTCTTAAATCCAAATCCTCCGTTCAATAGATACAATCTAGTCTTGCTACCATCACTTCTTCCTGGTGTTCATTATAAAGAGGTACAACCTAGCAAAATCAAGATGACAGTTCTTTCACAACAAATCATTGGCTCTGAAAAGGCTTGGTATGGATATGAGCAGCAAGATTATTCCTGTGATCCAAATATTAGACACAAAAAAAGCAGAGACAACACTGAGGTTATTCTGCCACTTATCATACATGGATGGAATAAAAAATGAGAAATGTTAAAGGTCACTTTGAGTTCCTTAATTGCTGCCCCCCAAGTAAGGCATAAAGCCCCAACAATAAATATTTTAAAATCTCACCATCATTTGGATCCAATCATAATTAGACCTGCACTCAGGTCATGAATTTTTTTATATCACTTAGATTTCTCATGTTATAATGAACAGCAAGAAAAGATTAAAAGTGGTCACAAAAAGCAATGAATTGTTAAAAACTTGTGAGAAGAAAGCAAACAATATGAAGTGCAAAACCTTTCATGAGAGCTATATCCCAGGGCAGTGTGGAAGCCTGGCCACAATCCTGGCCCCTTGGACCAGCTTTACTAGTCACCTATCATCCTAACATGTATACCCACACACACCCACACACACTCACACACACACCAGCATATACAAAGACATGAAGAATAAGCAGCAAAAACTGATTGCTAACCTTAATAGTAATAATTTCTTAAAACATAACTTTTGAGATTTCACTAGCATAAGAGTCTTAACAAAGACAATGGTAACAATGCAGGCATTGCATCCCATCATATTTGTCGCTTGTTTAAAGCAATTTCTTCATATTTTACATCTTTTCTTCCCAGCTGACTGATTTTTGTTAACACACAGAAAATGTCTTATCAAAGGGTTTACTTGGGATACAAACTAATTCAAGATAAATATAAAAATATAGCAAACTTTTCCTCCCTGATACACAAAATTCACAAATTGCATAAAGATTTTTGTTGTTTCATTTACAAATATATAAATTTATTAGAAAAGCATGCCTACTCAATTTTGGTATGCTAAAGCTGTATTATATCTTCACTGCAAAAGAAAAAGACATAGGGAATATTTTTCTCAAAAGCTAATCCTATGTAGAGAAATAATGATTTATTTGCACTTTTACTAAGGTCAGGGTTGTACGAGCCAGTGTACCAAAACAAATTACAAGGAAAACTAACTTTAGCATGCTCATTCTAGGTTGTCTTCTAAAACGCATTTTTTCAGGGTTAAAACAGTATTAAATGGATGCATCCTTAGCTGTATGATTAATAAACACGTTGAACACACCCCAGCACATGTTACTCAATTAAAGGGTCGTCATCGTCTTCTTGTAGCTGAAGTCGGGAAAATGGCTGTGGTGTCGACAGTCTATTCTGCATGACTATCATGAGGCATGTCAGAGTCGCTAATACCAAGAGCGCACCAATCACAATCCCAATGGCTTCTGGGAGATTGATGCACCACTGGTCAACTAACAAGCACTTGGTGTGACTAAGGGTTCCATTATTGGGACGTGGCTTTACTCCCAGGATGTGACACATCATTGGATAAATATCCACAATGTCAATTGTGCTGTGCTTGTGGCCTTTGTGAAATGCAGGACCGTGGGCAGCTAGAAACGGATGCATACTAGGTAAAGAATTATCATAACCATGGTCACCTACTGAAAAAAGAACAAAATGATGTTAGTAAAGACTATCCGCCTTTCTAGTTACAAAGCGTACTTGTAATGTAAATATACTAACTGCTTGTCAGGCTAATTCTCCTCCACGAACATTTGAGCTTGTTGAAACCTAACAAGAGCCAGAATTTTAACTTTCTGTTTTCTTCAACTCAGCCATGACCCCATTTCATCTACATGCACCCCTTCTCCCAAGCTGCCATGACCTCTGACTTCTCAACCTGACACGTATCTTCCAACCTTAGCGTCACTTGCTTTGACACCCAGTACCGCCTGCTCAAAGCTCAGTGAGGACACTAGCAGGGACAGAAAGGAGTGGGCCAGACAGAGGCTTCTGTGTTAGACAGAAGAGAGAGAAATCATAAGACAGTGAGTGGGAAAGGAGCAGATCAGCAGTCCTATCTACCTGAACCGTTCTTGTGCTAAGAAACAGGATGACATGCAACTGATTTACTGAGTGCTAACACACACCTCCATATCAGGAAGGCCACATGAGTGAGGATCTTATAGAAGAAGCTCTTGTATTGAGGCTCCAATCAGATGACTCCAACTTATACTTCCACTAAAGTCTGACTCAAAGAAAACATGTAATAATCTCTGATATATCCCCGACATATTTTTCCACCACTTGCCTATATATCCCAACGTTTCAACAATCAGTACACAAAAATGACAAAAAGAGGAGTAATATACGAACTCCACTGATCCTAAGAATGTTTTTTCTGCCTGATACTTCTACAGGTAAGAGAGCTGCAAACTACAACCCAGGCTCAAATCTGGCCTCCACCTGGTTTATAAATGGTTCCACTGAAACACAATACTTCCTTTCTTTATGGATCACCCATAGCTGCGTTCACATTACAAAAAAAAAAGCTGAGTGCCTGAAACAGAGAACTGGCTGCTCCAAAAAGCCTAAAATATTTACCATCTGGCCCTTTATAAAAACAGCTTGATTGCCCTTTGCAAGCTACAAAATCAACTTTTTTCAAACTATTCAAACAATGTAAAATAGAGGCAGACCATGGAACATGCCTCTATATGTTTTCTCAGGTTCAGGACTGGTCCATCTGTGTTACCTACATGGGAACTTTTTTATTTATTCACTTTCTGGCTCATGCCTTGTGTTCTAAATAGTAAATTATTTCATCATTGGGGAAAGACTTAGGGTTCCTCAGACAAAATTTTTTGACACAGAAACAGGAATTTTCCCTCCACTTTCACTTTTGTTACTGCAAATGTTTTATTTTCTTCTCTTTCACTTTCTACAGATTAGGAGAACCAACCATAAAACTTACTGGTACTAACTACAGTGCTGATACAGAGTAAAATGACACCTTCACTCTCAAGGCCATCCATCTTAATCTAAAGGTGAAACACAGCTACTGTAAACTCCTATCACAGGAAGACCTGGGAACCATCTAGCTGAAAACAACAAAGTAGAACAAGCATTTCTAAATTAAAACCACCCTCTTAACAAAACAGCACCATAACATTTAATTCATTTCATATGCAAAAATAAATAATCTAAATACTTACATTTTGATGAGGATGTATTTAGCACAATTGTCCAGCCTTCATCAGCAACCAAAATAATAGGCTGAATTCGATCATTATGTCGGTAATAAAATCTACTAGGAATATCTTCTTTGAGATAAACATTCATGTTAGTACTACAGTTTTTCAGTTTGTTATAAGCCTCTGTTCTATCTGGAAGCAACAGGAAAAGCAAAAGGGAAAAAAGTCACAGTTGGCTGATAAGGAAACAAATCCAACTAGAACAACTAAAAATAAATTTTGAATGTCACCTAGTAAACCATTTTTAATTCTTAAAAAAAAAAAACAGGGCAATATTAACTACGTGACAATGTTCTGGACCATTCCCACCCTTTTTCCACTTTGTGTACTGTCCTAGTGCACTTTTATAGAAACAAGACAATTTTGCTGCCTAGGTTCCCAAGTAAACATAATCTAATTACGCAATACTATGAATAGTAGCAACTAATTTTGCCTTTGGTAGAAGCAAGGTATAGCTCATTAAAATGTAAAGTTGAAGCAGGTACTTCGGTATAGCGGGTTAAGTGACTGCTGGGTCACCCTGAATCCCATACTGAAATGCTGGTTCAGTCCAGGCTACTCCATTCCTGATTCAAATTCCAGTTAATATACTTGGGAAGGCCCAAGTACCAGCATTGCTGCCACCCGCACAAGCTATTACAGGCACTTGGGAAATGAACCAGCAGATGGAAGACCACTCCCTCTCTCCTTTACTCTGCCTTTCAAGCAGATACATAAAAACAGATCTGTAAAATGAGAAGTTTTTATGTATACAATTTCCTTTTTCCCATTAAGAAACGTTATAAAAAGCATAGAAACAATTACTTCAACCTAAACTAGAAGACAATTCTTCAAAGCGTTTAAATTAAGGGAGAAAAATACAAGTGTATATTTAAAAGTTTGTAGAAAGTTGGAAATAACAAGTTGACACTGTGACGCAGTGGGTTAAGCTTCTGTCTGCAACACAGGCATCTCAGGGGGTACAGTTCTGGTCCTGCTACATTGCTGATCCAGCACCCTGGTAATATGTGTGGGGAAGCAGCAGAAGACAGCTCAAACACTGCACCCATCACACATATTCTACTCTGAAGCTCCATGAGTAGATAGACCCCAAACCACAAACAGCCAGAACTTCATTCTTTTACACAATCCTCCCTCCTCAATCAAGTGCCCCATTTAAACAACAAAGCTTAGTTTGCTAGAAGTTTACTTACTTATTTTGGGAAGTATTGCAGCAACTGGGGTCAAATCTACAACAGTGTAGTCTGAATGATCGATGCAAAGATCCAAGTTTATCAGTTTTTTCTGAGAACACTGGGCCATCCCATGATCACTTGTAATAATTACATTAAGATGTTCCCATAATCCCTCCATCTTGAGTTTCTGAACTAGAACACCAATATGATTATCTATTTCCCTCAACACTTTGCGCATGTTTTCTTTGTCTTCAGGTCCATATTTGTGGCCGCTTGCATCTGGTTCTTCCCAGTAGAGTGTTGCAAAGGTGACTGGTGGGTTTGAATGGCTTAGCCACATAGTAACGCTATTTAGTCTCTCTTCAAAGGACACTGAAGAATTATAATTCATAAAATAAGAAGGTGTGACATTATGAATGGGCACATCAGTTCCAGGCCACATGGCAGCAGCACTGGATCTGTTCTCCTGAAGTTGATTAGTTACCCAAATAGGTATCGCCTGATTCCACCAGAAAGGATCTTTGTCATTTGAGTCAGAGAAACTTTTCTTTGTGTCAGCATCATACATGGAATTAGCCACAATTCCATGGCTTTCTTCATACAGGCCTGTTACAATACTATAGTGGTTTGGAAATGTTTTTGTGATAAAAACATTTTTGACATGTTCCACCAAGACTCCTTCATTGATAAAATCTTGGAGATGAGGAAATTCGTAGTTTTGCAGGTAGTCAGCTCGAAAGCCATCAAAGGACACGAGCAGTAATTTGGGTGGCATCGTATAGGAAGAATTGCTCCTGCAACCGGTTATAAGTCCAGAAAACGCAAGTATTACTAATAGCTTCATAATGAACGCGTTGAAGAACAGCAATCAGTGTTCCTGAAATATAAAAACACAATCCATAAGCAGTAATGCTATTTGATTTAGATTAGGCTTAAGAAGTTAAGCCAACTGGCAAACAGAGCCAGCATTTACAAATCTCTTGCATTCCAATTTTATCTGTTAACTTATATAATGTCATTTGCTTCTAAAGAACTGATTAAAGTTAAAATAATCCAATTTCCATTAACAACATGTCCTGTCCAACCCTTCACACTCTGAAGGTGAGGTGAGACATTTTCTTTTTTTTTTTTTAATATTTATCTATTTTATTTTGTTTTATGACAGTGTTTTGTAGGCTCTGGGATTCCCCCAACCCCTCCTCATGCCCTCCCCGCATGATGGATTCCTCCACTTTGTTACAGTAGTACAGTTCAAACTCAGTCATGGTTCTGTTGCAAAGTCAGATACACAGAGAGGAGGAGAGAGAAGAAACCTTCCATCTGATGATTCACTCCTTGTGGCCGGAGCTGCACCAACCTGAAGTCAGGAGCCTGTAACCTCCTCCGGGTCTCCCACGTGGGTGCAGGGTCCCAAGGCTTTGGGCCGTCTTTGACTGATTTCCCAGGCCACAAGCAGGGAGCTGGATGGGAAGCATGATCACTGGGATTAGAACTGGTGCCCAGTTGGGATTCCGGCGAATTCAAGGCGATGACTTTAGCTGCTAGGCTACCACGTCGGGCCAAGGTGAGCCATTCTTACATTTGGCTCAAAGCCTTATCCTATTGTTGTGCTGCCTTGCTCATCACAGCAACAAAAATGGTCCTGATGACTTCAGAATAACAGATGAAAAAACAATTCTTTTGTAGAAAATACAAATGACGCCCGTCTTCTAGAGGCTCTAAAGAGGAAGACGATTTTTATTTATTTATTTTTTTTGTAGATTAATGAATGCTAACATATAATTAGCATTCTAAGCCATTAGTGGACATTCTAACATCACTAATTCTTGTTGAAAAACAATGGCGTAGAAAATGTGAGTGAGACAGAAATGCTACTTGAGGAAAAGGTGCCACCTCAGTCTGTACACCCCAATATTAACATGAGGCTGAGTAATAAATGGACAGAACCTACGTACTTGGATGCCACAGTAACTCCTAAGGAAATGCCACAGCTGTTGAAATAAGTCTCACCACCACATTTCTTTTCAACTTCCCCTCTGCTATCACAGACATGACTGTTCTTCCTGATATTCAGCCTTAGAGCTGTTCTTTATTTTACCAAAATCGTTTTCCTCTCATAGATCTCTGCTTTCTGGTTTCCCTGGCTTTAAGAAAACAGGATGTGTGATTTGCAAAGAATGACTCAACACTGACAGGTAGGATACCTCTTCACTGTAACATAAGAGAAGGATCAAAAGGCAGATGCTGGTCGAGAGGGAGGGTGTCTGGCGCAGTGGCATAGCATACTGATTCTCCATCTGCCATGCTGGGATCCCATACAGGCACCAACTGGAGCCCCAGATATTCCACTTCTAAGCCAGCTAGCTCCCAGATAATGGCCTGAGAATGCAGAGGAGGATGGTCCAAAACCTTGGGACCCTGCACCCACATGGGAGACCCCAGAGGAAACTCCTGATCCCCAGTTTCAGATGAAATTAGCACTGGCCATTGCAACTATTTAGGGAATGAACCAGTGGATGGAAGATCTCTCTCTCTCTTTCCATTTCCCTCTCTTTGTCTAACTCTTTCAAGCTAAAGAGAAAAAGAAAAAAGGAAAAATAAAAAAGCTGAATCAGCCAACAGGTTTGAGGGTTGGAGGTGAAGGGAGTGGCCTTCTCTACATTACTGGAAATAGTGTTAATTATTCAGAGTGAACAGAGTGGTGCAGGGGTCTGAGGAGCACAGAGAACGCTCCTTATTACAGAGCGTTCTCCTTATTACAGAACGCTCTGTTATTACAGAGGACAGGAGCATGTGAGGAAATAGGACGGTTCCTGACCATTGCTCGCAGCACCATACTTTTCATCAGGACACTGTTTTCCTACCCAGTGACTCTGGTGCAGGCAGGAACAAAACATGCAGCTGATTCTACTCGGGTTTGAGGCCCTGGCAGAGACTAAAGGAAGACTAATCTGAAGGCACTGACTACAGAGTGTCTGAAGTTTCATCTAAGCTGAAACTAATAGATTTGTGAGAAGTAAAGAGGATTTTGGACTAGAGGTGCGGATGAAGACAGAGAATTTATAGATAGATGGATAGGTAGATAGATAGATAGATAGATAGATATTTTAGCAGAGAGGAATTTCTTCCATTTGTTGATTCACTCCCCAAGTGGCCACAAGAGCCAGAGCTGAGCTGCGCAAATCTGGAGCCTCTTCCAGGTCTCCCCCCATGCAGATGCTCTGGGCCATCCTCAACTGCTCTCCCAGGCCACAAGCAGGGAGCTGGATAGGAAGTGGGGCCACTGGGACATGAACTGGTGCCCACATGGGATCCCGGCACATGCAAGACCAAGACTTTAGCCTTTAGGCTAAAGCACCAGACCTGAGAACTGATGTTGTAAGAGTCACTTCAGTGAAAGCTGCAAAGATGTGAGGTTGAAGTCAGAATGTGGTGACTGAGCTCATCATTCCAGGTTAAAAAGCTGATGATGTGGCCGCAGGGCAACACATCTTACGCAGTGGTGAGCTTGAGACCAATATGATCGACAGCATCCTGAGTCTTCCACTGTGAACTCTTCTTTCTCCCAACAAGATTCCAATTACTTTACAGGAGAGATTTTCTTTCAGACATTATCAGCTAGATGGTCTGTGTTGAGATAGACATTCAAAAATCATTTGGGGGACCATGGTGTAGCTGATGGCATCCCATATGAATGCCAGTTCCAACCCAGCTATTCCGATTCCCATTCAGTTCCTTATTAATACATTTGGAAAAACAATAGAACATGGCCCAAGGACCACTGGACCATGTGGAAGACCCAAATGGAGCTCCCGGCTTCTGGCTCCAGCTTGCCCAGCCATGACAGATGCAACCATTTGAAAAGTGAAGCAGCGGGCAGAAGATCTCTTTCTGTCTCTCCCTCCCTCTCTGCAACTCTACCTTACAAATCAATAAATCAATATTTGAATATATGCGTGTGTAAATATATATGTAATATATATATATATAAAGTTATGATCTTCTTAAAAATGGTGACATATTTTGAGGACCAAATTCACAAACAGAACCTTATTTGTAAGGATCTCTAGGTCTGCAAAATTCCTGCCATTTTAACCTGAGACAGGCTGCCTTGTAAGCATGGAATGACTGTTGCTGGTACCAAACAACAAACCCAAAACAGTGCCCAAGTATCAAAATGAATCCACCCCTCCAAGAACAGAGCAGCAATCTTAATAACAGATATGCATACTCCCTGTCACAGCTCAGCATGTTCAGCTGCAGAGAATCTAGACTGTGGTCCTGCACTTTTCATTCAGCATTTTCTGCCCATTAATATAGCATTGATGCATCATTTAACTCATCCCTCACAAGTCTTTAGGGGATTTGGTCAGATAAGAATACTAAGTGGACTGCGGCCCTGGGATCCAGAATGTACTAGGACTGTGTCTAATATATGCAGTGCTCCATGACAGCTTGGAATGAGTAATTCCCTGGTTCCTCTTGGAGTACAGATTACCCCAACCCCCCAACATTTACTTCCAGAGTGGACTTAAAACAGCAAATAGGTACAAACTAACTTCTCAGGGAGGAAAATATACTCATAAATTTATTTTTATTTGTTGCCCTGGCTCTGTCCCCAAGCAGCCATTCTTCATTTCCAGCCAATACCATTGCATAAATTATTCTGCTGTCAAATCCAAACAGATGTCAGATTGAATACATTCTCTACACCTCCAAAGCTTTCCCCTTAGTTTCCTAATCCTTTGTTTAAAAAGATTTATTTGTTTGAAAGTCAGAGTTACAGAGCGTGAGGAGCAGACAAGGGGAGAGAGATGTTCTCTCTGCTGGCTTACTCCCTCAAAACACTGCAACAGCCAGGGCAGGATCAGGTCAAAGCCAGGAGCCAAGCGCTTCTTCCAGGCTCCTCAACTGAGTGATAAGCAGGGTTCTCAAGGACTTGGGTCATTCTCCACTGCTCACAAAGGGGCAGCAGCACGGAGCTGAATTAAAAGTGGAGCAACTAGGACTCAAATTGGTGCCAGCATCCCAGAAGGCAGCTGAACATGGTCCCAGTTCCCTAGTCTTTTAAAATAACTCGGTATTTTCTGAATAGTTTTGAATATTTTAGTCCAGTCATTTTTACCTTTAATTTCCCCAATGCATCGCAGTAGACAGAGGACTCACTGAAGAGAGTTAGTTAAATACTCAGCCTTCCAATCTACACATTGAGACTCTGATTCAGACTAGACAACAGGAACCTGTATTTTTTAACATGCACTTTTAAAAAAGATTTTATTTTATTTCATTTCATTTTAATTTAATTTAATTTTATTGGAAAGGCAGATGTGCAGAGAGGAGAGACAGAGAGGAAGATCTTCCGTCCGCTGACTCGCTCCTCAAATGGCCTCAATGGCTGGAGCACAGCTGATCCAAAGCCAGGAACCAAAAGTTTCTTCCTGGTCTCCCACACGGGTGCAGGGTCCCAAGGCTTTGGGCCATCCTCCACTGCTTTCCCAGGCCACAAGCAGGGAGCTGGATGGGAAGCAGGGCCATTGGGATTAGAACTGGCGCCCATATGGGATCCCAGTGCCTGCAAGGCGAGGACCTTAGCCACTAGACTATCGTGCCGGGCCCAGGAACATGTAATTTTAACAGCCATTCACTGTTTCCTGACTCCACTGCTGCTGGACCTAAGCTAGTACCTCCTCTCCAGGTTGCCTTCATTGCTTAATTTATCTTCTTACCTCAAACATTTTCCCCCTTCTTCTACAAAATCTTCTACCAACTTAATTCCTATACATAACTGTTCATGACATTCCCCCAATAAAAAGGAATGTCCACAGCTCTCCCTTCCCCCCATTTGTCCAACAGTCAAGCCCCTATAATAATGACCCAACTCGAAAACTGTTACACGAATAATTCCCAGCCTTAATTTCCATTCACCAAACATCACTATCACAATCTTTCTGAAATGTATTATAATATATAAAAGACAACCATAACTCACCTCGTTGACCTACAGCTGTCCTACTTTCTCTCTTTAGTAATAGTTTGTGTTTCCAGAACATATAGTTACTACCTGCATTGCTCCAGCAGCCTTTTAGGTCATTAAAAAAGGTTCAACAAATATTTAAAATAACTAAGTCCACCACACAAACACACCAGGGAACAAACTTTATAAATATGTAATAATTTACTGCAAAGAAGGGCATAAAGGATCGAAACAATGAATCAGAAAAGCAGAAAGCTTATTTTCCTTGAATCAACTTTGTTCTCTAATGCTAAAACTTCTTTATAGCTTAACATTAATATAATTGAATATTAATTTGGCATAACATATAGTATGTCTGAAACTTTGGGAATACAGTCAGCTCTAAGAGCAGAGGGGTGCCAAGGCAATGCAACAAATGTTGGGACAACTAGAAATTCAAAGGATTCATTTGTTGAATGATATCTGAATTACAGCTCTATAAAATTATTTCTAAAAAAGCAACAGAAATTAAACCTGTCCTCTTCAATTCCCTGTCACCTCTACGACATCTTTTTATCTAAGTTTGTCTAAAAAAAAATTATCCCAAAGGTTGTGAATTGGTATTTCATAATACAGATTTGGACATATTAATGTCAAAAAGTTAACACCACTTTCCTTATGCAAAACAAAACAAAACAATGAGTCTGTCCCTCTACCCACAGAATACAAATCAACATCTTCTTAAATCCTGAGTAAACAGGATGCTTGTGGAATACACATTGCCACTCCTGGGGTTCAGTTATCCTGGGGCACACTGCTTTGGATCAAAGTGGAAGGAACACGGGCTCTGAAGCAAGCAGGCTCCCAGAACTCTCACGCTAAGGGTCATCTGTCACAGATGTGACATCCAGCGTCAGTCTCCTTGTATGTAAACAGACCAACACAACCGATTTCCCGTTATCCATTGTGGTTATTAAGCCATCAGGCTAGGAAAAAGTCTATGCTACACAGTCCCAAAGTTTTTTAACATAGGATAAATTTGATTGACTGAGTTCAGAAAGAAATTAGTACATTACTGTGCTGTTACTAATTTCATAACTTCAACGTACTTACAAGTCCAGAAACAACAATTTCACCAGTCTTGTAGTAATTTCTAAACCATTAGCAGACCTTTCCCTGCCAGGACACCCTTCATTAGCAGTACCTGGCCCTGTGTCTGCCATATTCTGTTTTCACAGGAAGTATTAAGAGCAGGAAGAAGTTCATAAGTAGTTTCCAAGGAATAAACACCAAATTTTCAAGGAATGAAACTGTTAGCTTACAAAATATCAGGGGGAATTCTCTGATTTTTACACCAAATAATAATAATAATAAATACTGAAGAAGGAAAAAAAAGCACTCCAAATGGGATTACATCCTCAGAGCAACATAGATTTCCCAGGCAGTCTTCAGTTTAAGAGACAAAGGTTTTTTCTTCCCTGCTCTGGGATGACTCTCCTACAGGGATGCAACCTCTGTCAGTCAACTCCCCCTGAGCACTCCTAGGGAAAGTGCCACAGTCACAACAGGTGCTGAGAGCCACTTGTCACCAAGAACAAGTCACCTGCTCAGTCCTTCAGTGAGACTTGCTATGTGCCCAGACCACATGCCTGGAGATTATTACCAGCTACTGTCTTAATGGTCTCAGGGGGGAGAAAAATTACTCCCCAAAAAACACTGTCTAAATATCCCAGGATGCACATTATTCTCCAGTTTTCTAGCGTGTACACACACACACACACACACACACACACACTCACGCATACACCTGTATACAACCTGCCAGCATCTTCAAGGCTTGAAGGACTTGGGAAAATTCACAAAAGACATCCATTGTGAGACTGGAGGGGAGAAGTGAGGAGAGAGAAGAGAGCTTGGGGGACGGCGGAAGGGAGACCCCAGCGCCAACTAAACTGTATCAAAAAATAAATAAATAAATAAATAAACAAACAGCTGCATTTCACTTACTTACGCTCCCTGCCCCCTGCGCCATACTCCCCGTTTTCATCAAAATGTCTTTCAAAATATACTTTCTGACTAATTCAACCAGAAACCTGGGTCCACCAGTAAGCGAGCAGTTTCTGGGTCAGGCTTGGCACACAGCTGAGTGTGGCTCAGTGTACAAACTGTCCCTGCGCTTCCCGAGATGGGGAGCTGGGCTTTCACCAGCTGCACCGTGGGACGCTACCATCACTGGGGCTGTTGTGACAAGGAAAGACATTGTGAAGTGCATGCTAAATGGATCCACCCCACGACAGGCACGCACTGCGGTGCTCTGCTCGCCTCCAAGAAAACCCGTTTTCAAATATAAAGCTTACACTCACACGTAATTAACATGAACCCCCAAACTCAAGACGAAACGCACCCCCCATCCACCCGGACGTCTCTCCCTCGCTCAGCGTTGTCATCCCGGGCCCCCTCCGCCCCCAAGGCTGCCGTTCCGCCCACTTCCCCTTCATCCCCCGAAGCCAGGGTCGCCTCCCTCCGTTCCACGCCCACCACCCCGGGTCCCGCAGGGGGCTTCGGCCGCCAGGGCCCCGGCAGGTGTTCCGGATGGACTGGACCGCGGGGAGGGGCTCGCCCTCTCGCTTCTCCAGGCCCCCACTGGCCTGGGGAGGAAGTGGTCTTTCCCCCACCCGCCCCTCACCGCTCCAGGTGCACCGAGCTCACACTCACCCGCCGCGGCTTCTTCCCAGCACGGAGCCCGCCGCTAGCGGAACCCCGCACTCCCGGGTTACTTGGGGGCGACGGGGTTCTGACCCGAGAGGGGCAGGGCTCTTCCTGAGGCGCCTGCGCAGTGGCGGGCGGCCGCACCGGTTAACAGCCCCTCCTCCAGCGGCCCGAGGCGCTCTGGTTGCTCGGCGCTGGGTGGGCCGGGCGCTGGGTGCTGGGTGCTGGGTGGGCCGGGCGCTGGGTGCTGGGTGGGATGGGCGCTGGGTGGGATGGGCACCGGGCGCTGGGTGCTGGACGCTGGGCGCTGGGTGCTGGGTGGGCTGGGCGCCGGGCGCTGGGTGCTGGACGCTGGGTAGGATGGGCGCTTGGTGGGCTGGGCGCCGGGTGCTGGACGCTGGGCGCTGGGTGCTGGACGCTGGGCGCTGGGTGCTGGGCGCTTGGTGGGCTGGGCGCCGGGCGCTGGGTGCTGGACGCTGGGTGGGATGGGCGCTTGGTGGGCTGGGCGCCGGGCGCTGGGTGCTGGGCGCTGGGCGCCGGGTGCTGGGTGCTGGACGCTTGGGAGGGCTGGGTGCTGGGTGGGCTGGGTGGGCTGGGTGCTGGGCGCTGGGTGGGCTGGGCGCCGGGCGCTGGGCGGGCAGGACCGGCAGCAGAACTTGCAGCCGAGACTTGGTTGTTTTGTTTTCGTTTTTTTTTTTTTTAATTTATTATTATTATTGGATGCTGTAGTAAATGTTAAATGTAAATTCCTCTCCTATTGGTTAGGTTCACATACCACCTGGAGACAGGTGCCTGGGTGGAGTTGAAGGGACCTAAGGAGGAAATGTTTGTTCTTTTCTCCCACCACACCCCTTCCTTATCATTCCTAGGTCTCAGTGCCCTTCAGGGGCACTGGCAAATGCCACAGCTATGGCTTACTACCACTCCCAGATGCCCTTAATGTGCACCCCACTGCTTAGGTACAAGCCAGTGAAAATGACTTTGTCTGCCCCAGGGTCACATCCACCAATCTGTCCAGCTTCCTGGAGCACTGAGCAAGCGCCTCAACACACGAAGTTCAGTGCTCAGTCGTTGGCAAGTAAGGCTGAAAGAAATACAATCTCTGCAATGGGGAACTAGTAATGGCTATGGCTACAGCAGATGAAACCAAAATAGAATTGCTGATTGTCAAGTCCCATGCCACTCTGTAAAACAGAGACTGTGTATCCCACCTTCCAAAGTGGGGAGTGAGAGAGCCTCTCTCAGGCTGTGGTCAGTCAGGCTGGTCACCAAGTGCCCTCCACTTTAACTTAGACAGGGACAGTAATTTATGTTTTCGATTTCATCATCATCTTCCGACTGTGAGGCCAAACTCCTGTGCTCAACTCATTACAACATTCATTCCCAATAAGGTGTTACGGGAGTCTACATTTGCAAATTAAAGCCAATTAAGTTCTTTGATTACGTTGTAATTTCTCCTTTCCACACAGTGGACATCTGGACACTTCTTTTGACAGATGCATAAGTGAGGCTGATTCTTACCATTAAGTGGAAGATTCGTCAGATAGTCACATAATGTTACTGGAAACAAAACAGAGAAGCAGTAGATTTGTGTGTTAATATTGGATTGCTGGGGCACGCCTGGCGGGAGAGGACCATATCATTTTTCTCTCCGTAGCTACAGCGCCAAACATAGAACCTGGCTAGAAGTGCTAAGTACTTACTGAATGATTACAGAAGTTGACAGAACATATAAAGGCTCTTCAGGCTCATTGCTCCAGGGTACTGTTTTCATTCTTTAAGATTGTATCTCAAAAAGGTACAATTAAATGAATTAAGAAGTATTAGTCATGTGTAATGTCTTTAGGTGTTAATCTAATAGCTGGAGCCTGTGCTGTGGTGTGGCAAGTTAAGCTGCCATGTGCGGTACTTGTAAAATAGCTGGTTCAAATCTCAGCTACTCTGTGTCCCATCCAGCTCCCTGCTAATACACCTGGGAAAGCAGCAGAGCATGGCATCGGTGTGTGGGTCCATTAATCTGAGTTGTAGAGAAAAGTCATTCCTGAGAGACTGGGAGCAGCCAGTGGCACTAGACATATTCTGTTGATTATTACTTTGTGCTTTATTAAGTGAATTCTGGTTTCATTCTCTAAGCTGTCCTGTGCATTGGTGAGTTTTAGTATCTTAAATGCACGAGCTCTCCAAGCTATGAGGCTTGGTAGAGGCAATGTAGTTTTAATTCTGGAATCTGTCAGACCTGAGTTTGAGCTGCCATTCCTTAGCTGAGCAATCCTGGGCCAAGGTCTCAACTTGCTTGAACATCCATACCTTCTTCTGCAAACCAAACCTGTTGTAGTGCCATCCTCTTGAGGTTATTATTATATAAAGTAGATAAACAAGTAGAATACTCAAATGGTAAGTGCTGGTGATTACTATTGTCATGAGTGATTCCCAGTTTGATCCATAGTCAGGGAAAGTCAGAGGAATTTAACAGAACTTAGATCTGTGGTACTTAAGAATAGGTTTATGGTCCTGTGTGTTCATTTACTACATGCTTGACTGTTTGTAGAGTAGATAAAACTGAGTTCCATACAAGTCATATGAGCAATGAAGAGAGCAGCAGAGTGGCCAATGGGAGGGAAGAGCTCCCTTTATCTACTGCCACTGCCTATGTGACTAGTTCGAATGTGGGAGTCTCATCAAGTCTCGGCCTCTCCTCCCGACAATAAAGGAGTAGAAAAAAGAGGAGCAAAATGTCACATAAGGCCATGTTAGTGCCAAACTTCTCTTATCCTCTTTAAAGTTTTGTTTTGTTTTTATCTTAAAGGCAGAGTTACAGAGAGAGAGAGAGAGAGAGAGAGAGAGAGAGAAACAGAGACCAATTCACTGGTTCATTTCCCAAATATCTGCAATAACCAAAGCTAGGGCAGTCCATACCAGGAGCCTAGAACTTCTTCCAGGTCTCCTGTGTGGGTGCAGGGGCCCAGCATCTTGAACCATCATCTCGCTGCTTTCTCAGACACATTACCAGAGAGCTAGACCTGAAGTGGAGAAGCTGGGACTTGAACCAGCACCTATATGGGATGCCAGTACCACAGGCTTAGCCCACTACACCACTGTGTCAGCATCGGAAGTGCTATTTTCAAATGGTGTTAAAAAATAAGAATATATGTCATCTTATGGAATTAAGTCAGTCCAGGGCTGACCTTGGGACTGGTTGAATTAGCAGCTCAATAATGTTTTCATGTACTGGATGGATTCCTTATAACTTCTGCTCAGCTTTGATAGAGTTGACGTCTGACTTTGGTGGCAAAGATAACCACCGTTAACAATAGGAACAGTAGGATTCATTTTCACTTCCACTGCACGATAGAAGTGACTTACAGTCTTTCCCCCCTTTCTTTGAATATTCTAGCAATGGTCTCCTTTGATTGCTTTGGCTAGAATTGCATCATACACCCAAATCCAAACTAGTGAGCAAGATGTAATTACCAATAGATGATTCAGTCAGCACCTTGGACTAAGGTTTCTTTCTTAATCTGCACTTGTAATCTCCATGGGATTGAAATACAGTGGATGGTAGGAAGTTCACCAGCAAGTCCACTGGAGTTTCACACTAGAAATGATAGCAGAAGAAAACAGTAGCATACAATTTTCTATGTGGCTTTCAATCATGAATAAGTATTTTATTTCAGTAGGAAAAATAAAGTGCAATCATTCATGATATTCTTTCAGCTCAGCTTTTGGAAAGAGAATTTCACATGAATCTTAGAAATGCTGAGTCTTTAGAACTGTTTTGTATCTACAATAGAATGATTGTTGTGTCCCAGAGAGAACTGACTTGGCTAAATGCATGAAAGCTAACTCAATTAGAGTCTGTGTTTCCAAGACAATGTCAGATTCGGAAGCAGAAGACCAGAGATGGTGTCTTTTTCCTCCCTTGAACTAGACACAAGACTTAGCATGTACTGATTCACATTAAATATTTTAAAACTAAAATATTTTGAAAATTTAAAGGCATCACTCAATGCAATTATTTCTCATTGAAGCTAATTGTTAACATGGAATGCATTGTTGGCAGGAGTAATTCAGAGATTAGAATTACAGGAAAAAGGTTTCCGTGCAAAGCCACTGTGCCCAAACAGAAACAATTCCTGCTGCTCAACTCCAAACAAACATCCACAAAACTGAAACCAAAGAGCCAACTTTCAAACCACTGAGTACAAGGTTCTCATTTTAATATATAGATGTTAACGTAAAGAAAACATAATGCAGATTTCATCGTAGATAGAAGAGGGAGAAAGTCCTTATAAATCACAGGTTTTTTAGCAATTTTCAAAGTTCCTTTAACAAAAGCTCTCTACCCAACACCCCTTTTAGCAAGATTGTTTTTGGACAAATTCAGTAAGATTTTTAAAGTCCTTTGAAATGCTGTTTAAATGGACTGTGCGTAATCCGCTATGAACTGACTCACGGCTACCCTTTTCAAAAATATTCAATGAAGTTGTGAAAGAATCTTTTGAGGTTTTCCTATGTAAAGGGAAATAGCCCCAGTTTTTCAAAAGGTACAAAAACAAGTAAGATTCAATCCTTTTCCTCAGGGCACTTCTGATTTAGAAAGGATGCTATAAGTTAGGCAGTTAGCCAGGTGGGTTTGGTGAGCTGGAGGTACTGCCAGCACTACCTGCTGCCGCCTCCCCTATGTATAATTCCATGCTCCTACTTGTCAATCTAAACTTACCTTTCCCTGGGTGCATCTGCTTAATCAGGGACATTGGAGGAGACGATGCCATGAAAATACAAATATTGAGCTCCATGCAGGCTTTATGTAGGGACTGGAAACTCCCCAGATGGCTTCATGTCTGTAGAGGCATCACATCCTACCTGGTTAGAGGCTAACAACTGGGGAGTCAATCTCTCTCTTTCTCTCTCTCTCACTCTTCTGCCACAGATCATGTTCTTTCTGCTTCCCCTCCCCATCCGTTCCTCCTTTTGGGTAAAATCTTCTGGCCCAGCCCACTGCCTGCCCATGACAGGTATTTCTTTGTGTGGGACAGTCGATACTAATATACACATGGGTACGTTAACTTTCTCAACCTTTAAATGAATTTTACTTTATGTTTACATTAGTGCTAAAAGAATGCCTTGTGAATGACAAGAGCCTGGCATACAAAAATTAGTATTGCCCTCACCCACATAAAAGCAAGCATATAGGACATCACCCTGTTCCTTTTGCATGCCCAATCCAGCATTTATCCCCCTTTGTTCTGGTGGTTCCTCTGGGAAACCATTCTACCTTGTTCATTTATGGCTGATCATGACACTCCACATCATCAGAGTGGAATCCTAATGTTATCAGTTGTTCTGATTCATTCTGAACTGAGGATTTTCCAGGGGTATAGGATTTTTAATGCTAAAACCAGAAAAGCAACAAGAAACTTGGTGTAAGTCAGCCACCCTAATTCTCACCCATGCCTGGTGTAGTAGAGCTAGTTCTACTCCACTGACCACAGGAACTTGTTCAGTTATGAGGACATGCCCCACAATGTGCTAAAAATTAATCCTCAAACTTCTGATGCAACAATTAGGAAAGAGTCATGGCTTCAGCAGCAACTGCTAAATAGAAAGATCAGAAGGCTGGAGCTGCTGGCTGTAATTATGGTCCCTGTTAAAGGAAAGTCCCCCTGGGAATGAAAGCCAAGCCATGAGATGGATCGGACATGTGACAATATCGATCACTTGGGTTCAAGTTTCCCAGAGACTCGATCTCCGAAATTTCCCATTTCTCTCACTCACTAAATGGGCTTTTGAACTATTTTTAGTTGGATTCTATCATGTACGTCTGAACGAGGAGATAAGGAAATAACTGTGTGCTCACACTATACCATCAAGTAAGATAAATACCACAAAGGCCACAAAGGGAACTACTACATCATGCAGAGGTTACATTTACCCACAGATGGCAGGAAATGGATAAAGGGCAAGCTGGTGTGTGATGAATTCTTGTAGATCAGATGGTGCAGAATTTTCCGATGACTACTGTTATATTTTGCCATAAGCACTGTGGCTTGAGCAACACAAACTTTTCACTTGCAGTTAAGGAGGTTACAACTCTGCAATGGGTCAACGGGATTGCTTTTTTTTTTTTTTTGGCAGCTCTCCGTCTGTGCCTTTTTGTTTATTTTTTATCTTTTTATTTATTTAATTACATTGCATTATGCGACAGAGTTTCATAGGCTCTGAGATTCCCCCAACTCAACAGGATTGCTTTCTTCCTGTCTTTTCTTTTTCAAAAATCATATCTCTTTACATATATACATAAAAGCAAGTTGAAAACATTTCAGAGATATCTCCAGTGGAATTAAAGTAAATGACTAGAATTGAACCTTTAATTTGATTTATCTAAAAAAAAACCACAGGAAATCCATGGTTTTCTCACCCAAAACAACGGGTTTATGAAACATTCAGTACTCATTGCAATAGCTTAGTGGCTAAAGTCTTTGCCTTACATGCTCAGGGATTGCAGCTGGGCATCTTTTCATGTCCTGGCTACTCTATTTTCCATCAAGCTCCATGATTGTGTCCTGTAAAAGTAGTAGAAGTTCGTCCAAAGCACTGAGACCCTGCACGCATGTGGGAGGCCCAGAAGAAGCTCCTGGCTGCTGGCTTCAGATCAGCTCAGCTCCAGCGATTGTAGCCATTTAGCAAGTGAACGAATGGCTGGAATATCTTTCTCTGTGTATCTCTCTTCTCTGTAAATCTAACTTTCTAATTAAAAATAAAAAATAGATATTTAAAGAAAAAAAAGAAACTTCTGTAATACTGCTGAAAGTTCTTTTTTTATAAGATTTATTTATTGGACCCAGCATGGTGGGCAAGCTATTGAAGTCCTCATGCAGGTTCTAATTCCGGCAGCTCCACATCCCATCCAGCCCCTTGCTTGAGTCCTGGGAAAACAACTGAGGATGGCCCAAAGCCTTGGAACCCTGCACCCACATAGGATACCTGGAGGAAGTTCCTGGCTCCTGGCTTTGGATCGGCACAGTTCTGGCCATAGCGGTCGCTTGGGGTATGAATCATTGGACGGAAGATCTTCCTCTCTGTCTCTCCTCCTCTCTGTATATCTGCCTTTTCAATAAAAAGGTAATAAATCTTTAAAAAACTTATTTATCCACATGAATATTCATAACCCACTCTTGGAAATGCCTTGATGTGGGTGATAAAGTATATAGTGGTCCCTCTATCTTACAGTGTTACTGTGATTTGTTAAGTTTTCCAGGTAGTAGCTCTGTGTTAACGCTTAAGGAAAAGTAGAGAAGCAGGCAAATTTTCTGAACTCACAATATTTACTCTCCTAGTTTCAAAGTTCCAGACGTTTGTAAATTGATGTTATCACAAATATTAACTTGGGCAATAAAACAGCAACATGAATGCTCTATCACTTCATTTCCCATTGTTCTCCAAACACCTGAGTCTGAATAGTTTATAGTGAAAAGGGTTTATTTAGCACACAGTTTTGGAAGTTGGAAATCCAAATTGGGCATCTCCAGCACATTGGATAGTTGGTGAAGGCCACATGGCAAATGGCATCACTACAATAGGAGTACCAGAGAAAGTGAGGAGGGTTGTCCTGCCCTTTTAATTTTTCATTCTTATTTATTAATATATAAAGGACATATTCATTAATTTCATAGATCTGATTTTAAAAATACAATGATAGAGTCCTCTTTTCCTTTCTTTTTTCTTTTCTTTCCTTTTTAAGAAATGTGATATATATTTTTATTTACTTTATAATTACATGCTCAATGATCCTCTAAAACGGTAAGTCTACAACTAAAGGTAGAGGGAAATCGCTGTTCCATGGGAGCATACACACAAGTTACAGGCAACTATCAACTCACACAAGATGTCAGTTTAGCTCAATATGTATTAGATGTCTTTTCTTGTACTCTGTATATTAGCTACAATCAATTGCAGAAAACAAATTATGCTTGCCTTTTTGGTGTGGCTGATTTCACTAAACACAATGGTCACATCCATTTTATTGCCTAAAACAGGATTTCATTCTTTTTTACGACTGAGTGGCATTCCACTGTGAATATGTACTACAATGTCTTTATCCAGTACTCAACTGATGGACATTTGGGCTCACTTTGTATTTTAGCTGTTGTGAACTGAGCTGCTACAAACATGGAAGTATGTATAACTCTTTCATGTGCAGATTTCATTTCCTCTGGAATGGGATGGCTGGATGTTATAGATCTGTTTTCAGATTTCTGAGTAATCTCCAGACTTACACTACTATGATTGAACTAGCTTACATCCTCACCAACAGTGTAAAAAAAAAATACTCTTCTCCACACACCAAGAGTTGTTATATTTTTGATGTTGCATTTCCCTGATGGTTAGTGATCTTGAAGATCGTTTTCATATGTCCGTTTGTTCATTGGTGTCTGAAAATTGCCCGTTCATGTCCCTTGCCCATTTCTGAACTGAATATTTTATTTTGCTGTTATTGAGCTTCTTGAGCTCTTTATAAATCCTAAATACTAATCTTCTGTAAGATGCATGATTTGCAAATATTTTCTCATTTGTCAGTTGCTTCTTTACTTTGTTTAGTGTTTACTGTACAGAAGATTCTATTTTTTCTTTAATTGTCTGTTCTACTGGGGTCTTATCCAAAAAGGATTTATTCATGTCCAATTCTTCCATTTTTTTTCCTCTAGTAATCTGTTTGTTTCATGTCTTTGGTTTGGCTCCTTGATAACTGTGAGTTGAATTTTTGTATAGGATGTTAAGTTAGGGATCCTGTTTCATATTTCTGCACGTGGAAATTCAATTTTCCCAAGACCATTTATTGAAGAAATTATTCATTTCCCAGGAAGTAATTTTAGCTTTTTTTTCATATTAGTTGGTTATACATGTATGGATTAATTTCTGGGTTTTCTATTTTGTTCCATTGGTATACCGTGCCTGTTTCTATGCCAGTGGTTTGATTATAACTTCATTGTAATATGTCTTGAAATCTGGTATTATGATACATTCAGAGTTTTTTTTTTAAATATATTGCTTAACATTACTCCTTGATAACAATCATTCCTTGAGAACTAACCATTAGAATTGTATTAATTCCTTTCAAAAGCGATGACTCCAATCACCTCCGACTGGCTTGACTTGAAAATTCTACTACCTCCAAACATTGCCACACTGGAGACCAAGCTTCTAACACATGAATCCTTCACAAATACACTCAGCCTGTATCCAAGCCACGAAAATGCTATACAAGAAAAACAGAGAAGACTGCGTGCACGCTAAGAAAGACATCCCTATCTGAGTGAGCAAGGTAGGTTGCAGTAAGTGCAATGGACTGGTCTGGTTGACACTATGGACAAGGCCATTGTCTGTGATGCTGGTATCTCATATATGTGCAAATTTGTGTCCTCTCTTCCACTTCCTATCCACCTGCCTATTAAAGGTATAGGAAAGGTAGGAAAGATGGGCTGATACCCAAATGGGAAATCTGGAAGAAGCTGTCAGATCCTGGCTTCAGCATGGCCCTGTGCTGTCCACTGCAGCCCTGTGAGGAGTGAACCAGCAAATGGAAAAACCCCCTCTCTCTCTGCCCCTCCTCTCTCTTCTCCTCTCTGCTTTCCAAAAATAAACAAATAATTTTTTTAAAGACTTATTTATTTTTATTGGAAAGTGAGATATACAGGGAAGAGGAGAGATAGAAAGGAAGATCTTCTATCTGTTGGCTCACTCCCTAAGTGGATGCAGTAACCAGAGCAGAGCTGATCTGAATCCAAAAGCCTGGAGCCTCTTTCCAGGTCTCCCACACGGGTGCAGGGTCCTGCAGCTTCAGGCCCTCCTCAACTTCTTTCCCAGGCCACAAGCAGGGAGCTGGATGTGAAATAGGGCAGCCAGGATACAAACTGGAGCCCACCTGGGATCCTGGCACACACAAGGCAAGGCTTTCAGCCACTAGGCTACTGTGCCAGGCCCATGAGTGATTTCTTTTTTAGAAAAATTTATCTGCCTTTAAATGATCATATATCTAGTAAATGGTGAAACAGCATATACAAAATCACACTCTCCAATCTCCAAACACTATAATCAAAAGTTCTATGAAATCAAGCATAACACAAATTAAGAACACTTATGTAGTCCTAATGATAGTCACGGTCAGTGTTTACCATATATCAGCTACTAGACTGAGCGCTCAACCTGGTTTATCTCCTCTGTTTGATAACAACTAGAAGAGGGTCTTTTTTTGCAGAAAATGAAATGGGTGCTTAAATAAGCTGAAACATTGCTCAGTTAGTGAATAGTACGGGGGCTATTCAAATTCAGCACTGGAAATTTCCAGGGGTTGAACTTCAGGGCCTCTATCAACTTTCACTTTTAGCTCTCACAGCTCTTAGATCTAAGATATTCCAGTTCCACAAGGCATAACATAGTCTAGTGGCTTGACAGTTAAATGAACCTATCAAGGTGCTAACCAGTCATCAGCAGAATACATGCCGCCCCAAGTTGTCTTCATAGCACATTCCAGATTCCAAGTTCTTGGTGATGAATATAGGCTGCAGACTTGGTGGTGATTCTGTGCGTCATGATAAAGGATATGCAAGCAAAGTCAGGCCCCAGCTCTTTTAGATGCAAGTCATGCATTCAAACAATACAGGCTTATTATAAAAAGGTTAAAAAAAAAAGGACACCCAAAGCTTCCAGATAATTTCACCTTTGCTTTAACGGCTTAGTCCTTCTTCAATGATACCTGCCCCTTTCACCTTTGCTATAAGAAAAGTTGGCTGGGCCCTATTCTGTTTTTTGACTTTTCACGAATGCAATTTGCCTTACTTAGCCTAAGTTTCTGGGCCAGTTATATAACTGATTTTAGTAGACACCTGAATATTTTTACTTCAGTATACAAGCCCTGGGTATTAAATTACTCTGACGAGGCCACAGTTCCCACTGATGTGTGTAAGGGCAAGTGTGTGGTGGGGAAGGTTGGCTTGGCCACAGCATCCATTGGTTTGCATATGAAATGGGGTTGGGGACAGAACTGACTAGGTCCCTGCAGCCATCAGTGTGTGTAGAGACTGAGGTGGTTGGTGAACTGAGTCAGAATCTGAACTGGCTGGCACAGAGGAGACAAGTCTGGGTTCACTTCTGGAAAGATTCTTTGGGGATCCTCCACCCTACAGTTACTTTTATAAAAGTTTTTCTTTTTATGAGTTTTATCCCTTTCAAACTCTGTGCGACTTGTACATACCTTCTGAAACTTACATATACCTTTGATTTTTGCCCATTTTTCCCTTTTTACTCTGGAGCAATCTAGTCATTTTACTTTAAGATAATTTTTTATACAGCATATGCCTTTTCTTTTTTAAAGATTCTCATTTGTTTGTAGCTTCCTCTCATGCTTACAACTACCTTTTTATTTTTTCTCCAAGTCTGACGATGATCTCACTTAATATTTTGAAATAGTTCTATAACTTTCCAAATACAGAGGTCAACATGGTGGCACAGCTAACTAATCCTAAGCCCTGTGGTGTTGGCATCCCATAGGGGTGTTGGTTTGTGTCCTGGCTGCTTTTGGTCTGGGAAAATAGCAAAGGATGGCCCAGATCCTTGGGTCTTTGCATCCACACGGGAGATCTGGAAGAAGAGCCAGCCTCCCAGCTTCAGATCGGCTCGGCTCTCGCCACTGTGGCCATTTGAGAAGAGAAGTAGTGGATGGAAGATCTTTGTCTCTGTGTGTAAAATATACCTTTCAAAACAACAACAACAACAACAACAAAAAAAAACCTCCAAATACTGACAAAAAATTTAAATAAAAAACACAGATTTTTTTATTAGAAAATAACAATTTACAAAAATACCTAAAAGATATTGGGAAGGGTCAATGAACTGATCACAAGGAATCTTCAAAAAGCTCATAGGAGATGTATATTATTGAAAACCTGTGCACGGATTTCAAAATTCTTGTATTCATCTTTCTGTTCCAATTCTTCTTTTTTTTTAAAGATTTGTTTTTTTATTTTTATTGGAAAGGTGGATATACAGAGAGGAGAGACAGAGAGGAAGATCTTCCATCCGATGTTTCACTCCCGAAGTGAGCACAACGACCGATGCTATGCCGATCCAAAGCCAGGATCCAGGAAATTCTTCCGGGTCTCCCACGCGGGTGCAGGGTCCCAAAGCTTTGGGCCGTCCTCAACTGCTTTCCCAGGCCACAAGCAGGGAGCTGGATGAGAAGGGGGCTGCCGGGATTAGAACCGGCGCCCATATGGGATCCCGGGCGTGCAAGGCGAGGACCTTAACCACTGCGCCACCGCACTGGGCCCTCTTCTTTTTTTTTTTTTTTAAAGATTTATTTATTTTTATTGAAAAGTCAGATATACAGAGAGGAGGAGAGACAGAGAGGAAGATCTTCCAACCAATGATTCACTCCCCAAGTGAGCGCAATGGCCAGTGCTGTGCCGATCCAAAGCCAGGAACCAGGAGCTTCTTTCCAGGTCTCCCACACGGGTGCAAAGTCCCAAGGTTTTGGGCCACTCTCGACTGCTTTCCCAGGCCACATACAGGGAGCTGGATGGGAAGGAGGGCTGCCAGGATTAGAACTGGAGCCCATATGAGATCCTGGCGTGCTCAGGGCGAGGACTTTAGCTGCCAGGCCATGCCGCCAGGCCCATGTTCCATTTTTTTAGAAACTTACTGAAGTACTCTCATGTAACTTTACATAGTGCTAACCATAATATCCCTTAATCTTCTTTTCTCCTCCTATCGGTTAGTGTGTAGAGAACCCATCAATTAAAAAAATACAGTCTCAATACATCAGCTGATATATTTCTTTGATTTTGTTTAGTTGTATACATGAAGACCAAGGGAGCACTCCTAGTTATAAAGTAATTTTTTTAAAAAATTTCTGTTCATCCAAAAACACTATGACTTATTATGTTTCATAAACAGTCTAGCAAAAACCTAACAAAGTTCTTTTGCATATTATTCTGCTATGAAAAAATTTAGTCACATCTTCATAACTAGCCACAGTCAATTCACTTTTACCAACCACAAAAATAAAAAATACGTGCTTTCTGTAAATTCATTTGCTATCTTAAAGCTTTCAAATCAAAGAGAAAATATTTACGTCTGAAATACAAAATTAAAAAATTATTGTTGACCTCTAAAAATCAATGACTTACATGATCATGGATTTTTCCTTTCTTTTTTTTTTTTTTTTCACCAATTCATTATATCTATTCAACATGTGACCGTTGGCACTTACTAAGCCTTATTTATGCTCAGATGTTCTGTCAGGTTTATTTTGCTGTGTTGCTTCTTAAAAAAAACTACCTGAATCTCTTCACAGAAAAGGCTCAGGATTATTGAAAAACCAATGCAGCTACACTGTTTCCAGATGTGCCACCAAAGCTGTACACAGTTTTTCAACAAGTTCAAATCCTTTGCTGAATTCATTGAGCAACTCTTCCTTGGTTGCAGAACACTGTGACCCTGGAAGGTCAACGAGCACAGGATTACTAGAATATTTGTATGAGAACAATTGGTTGGGTACCATTTGTGTGACTGATCGGATATCATTTGTACAAGAACAACTGAATGGATACCTTTTGTATAACGGATTGGATATTAATTGTATGAGAACAACTGAGTGGGCACCATTCGTACAACTAAATGAATATCATTTGTATGAGAACAACTGAGTGGACAGGATGTGAATGAGAACACTTGATGGGATACACAAAAGAGTTCCAAACAAGGTTATAGAAACAATTGATGGGTTCCATAGATAAGCTCAATATCTCCTTCCTTATCCCGTATGACCCTCAGTCTATAAAGTCTGATGCCTCGGCTATTGACCATCAGTCAGAGTCCATGTGTGTTATTATAGGCTCCATGCACCAAGTCATTTGCTGCAGGACAGTGACACTTGGTCCAATTACATGAGATTATTAGAAAAAAAAAAAAAAAGCCTTAACTTTCAACACCCTGGAGAGAGATTTCTTGCATCCTCTTCTCAGTTGAATTGTCAGGATTGAGGCTTATGGCATCAAAAATCTCTTTGTCCATACAAATTTGAAATCCAGGCAGCTTTGTGGATTCAAAAAGACTTCCACCTTTAGTTTAGTGTTAAGTAACCCTTCTTTCTCTAGGATATTTCCAGAAAGTTGAAATGCTGAGGGAGAGTAATCAATTCTAGTAATATTACTGAAATTTTGCAAGTTCAACAACAACAACAAAAAAAACCCACATCAGTTCCAGTTCCAATAGCCAGCACTGAGGCATCCAATGGAACCTTCCGTGTCTGCCTCCACCTTATCAGTCAAGTCATACTTTCTTCTCCAAACCAGATCTCTCCTGTATCCCCACATTCCCAGAGAGTCTGTAGTTCTCTCTCGTAGACAGCATCCCGATGCTCTGGGGGCCCAGAACACACAGGATGGAGCATTCTCTGACGAGATTGCCGGCCCCAGACCACGTCGTGGCCTCCCCGCCACCGCTGCTGTGGTTAGTGCCCCAACTCATAGCATATAGAATTCTAACGTTTGTTTTGGGCATTCTGGTGTTTGTCATATATGGATGATTTGTGAAAACATAATTCTTATCAATCCTAAGTAGTCTTTTTTGTACAATTTCAAATATCAAGGGTACTTAAATTTGTTTTTAGAAATTTTTACCTCATAAACACATTTATCTTTACCTTAATTTATGTTCAGTATTGTTATGGCATGGCAAGAAAGCTTTGTAAAGGGAGTGGAAATGGGCCTCTGGAAAATTCTCAGCTTAGAGTCTAAGAAGCATTCAACTCAGATCCATCTCCTGGGACCACTAACCAAAGGTACTGCAGAAGCCCATGGGCGTGGCCTCAGAGGTGAATCTGTATTGTTAAGTTTCACCCATATTTTGAAGAAGGAAGGGTAAGTAATTGCCAAGGAGACACTCACTGAAGTCCTGGATGGAGGATTGCTGCTGCCCTGCTCAGGCAGATAAGACTGCAGAGTTTGGTCAAGGGCAATGTGGTTCTAGCTGCCCTCCCCCTGTGTTGGGGATAGGTCCATCTTTATGTTGTGTATGTAAGTAGCCTGTCTTAGAGGAAGCTGTTTATGTTTTCCTAACTGGCAATTTAAAAACTGTAACTAAGCAACAGAACTGATTTTTCCTCCTCTCCCCTCAGAGACGAGAGAGACAAAGATCTTCTGTCTGTTGATTCACTCCATAAATGGCTGCAACACTGGCGCTGAGTCAATTCAAACCCAGGAGCCAGGAGCTTGTTCCCAGTCACCCACATGGGTACAGGGTCACAAGGTTTTACGCCATCCTCTACTGCTTTCCCAGGCCACAAACACAGAGCTGGATGGAAAGTGGAGCAGCTAGGACATGAACCAATGCCCAAATGGAATCCCAGTAGATGCAAGGTAAGGATTTGACTACTAGACTATCATGCTGGACCCCAAGCTTTCTGTCCTTTAAATACGAGGATCAAGGGTCCATGAGCCCCTGGGGCAGAGAGTCAGACAGAACCTGAGTCACCCGGCCTGGATTCTTGGGCCTGCCTGTGCAGTGAGTACTAGGTCCGTGAGCCCCTAGGGCAGAGGATCTGGTAGGACCCAGATCTCCTTTCCAGGATCCTTAGGCCTGCCTGAGCAGTGGGTTCCAGGTCTGTGAGCCCTGAAGATAGCGGGTGCTATATGGCCCTGGGCAGGTTGCCCAGGACACCATGGCATGAGGGGAACTTCATTGGCTGCCCAAGGGCTCCTCATTGTGGAGACTTAGTGTGTAGGCTTGCAGGGGTCTTGCAGTGACACAGGTGGGGGTGTGCAGGGGCCTAAGGTGCCATGTTCAGGACCACCATGGAATTCATGTGTCAGAGCTGGGCCTCCTCAGTGGAAAAGATGGAGCAGTGGATGGCTGGCCCAATTGCTATGGCAGCCCATTGGGATCTGCAGAGGACATCTGGTACCGTAGCAGAGGAAGGAGAACAGAACAAATTGGACAACTTATCCAGGCAAATGATGACAGCAAATATCTGGTTGAATTGGGACTCTGAGGTTGACTATGTCAGCCAATGGACATTGGAAGGGGTTCCTCACCCTTGGATCGGCGAGATCAACAGCATTTCAAAACTTGCAAAACCACATGGGCAGAACCCTTGGAGCATGCACCATACTGGGAACCCTCGGTTGATACTGGGTGGTGCTTCCCCGTCACTGGCTACTGGGGCAGCTGGAAGCCTAGGTATGGCCTATCCCATTATGTTTCCCCTTCCCCCAGACAGAAAGAAGAAATAGAAAATTTAGAACAATTAAAAAAGATTTGAGAATCAAAAGAATTCCAATGTCCAGTGATGTGTTTGCTTGCTGAAATGAGAGGACAGGACACAAAAGTATTCCTAAGTTTCAGTCTTTGTTCTTTTGAGGTATCCAGCAAATTCCTGGGCTGTAAGAATATCGTGTCACAAAACTCATGGTGAGTGAGGGGTGGCATAGATGAATATACTCATCTACGTGCAGACATTCCTCAACTGTATCTTTGGGAATTTTTAGACATTTTGGGGTGTGGGAGATCAGACAACAGGAATATTTGTGCCTCCACCTCTTCCATTGCTTTCCCAGAATTGTAAGCTCATATTGAAATAGAGGAAGTGGATTATTTAATTTTTTCCAGGCTCTTAGCTCCTATCTAGAGAAGTATTCTAAGTATAGGCACATGTGCCATACTCAAAGTGATAAACTTTTATTTAAAGATTAGAAAGCAAACATACATTCATGAGTATGGGTTGACCCACACAGAAAAATACCAGTCATTAGTGAGCAGTGGACACAGAGGGAAAAAAAGGTAGGGAAACGGAACACACACACACATACACAAGAAGACTAGAGAGGGGCCCCCAGCCCCAGAACCTCTTGTAGTTGTGGTCCCTCGTAGAAGAGATCTCCCATTGTTGGCCTCTTTGATGAGGCTGAAGGCAGGTGCCTCTATAGGCATGAAGTCACCTGAGAGTTTTATGTTATCTCCATAAAATCCCATGTGTATGTAATTCTACATATTTTTATGCTGCCCTCCTTTCCCCTCCCCAACAGCTGAGTCCTGGGAAAGGGGGCATCTTAATTGACAAATAGGAAGATAGTATAGCATATGAAGTCGGGGTTTGTGACTTGGGCTACAGCACCATTTGCTATGTCTGTGCAAGTCCTTGCTTCTCTACTTCTGATCCAGCTCCCTGCTTCCCGTATGGGAAGGTCATCAAAGATGGTCAAGTACTCAGGTCCATACTAAGCAGGCTGGAGAACAGGATGGAGTTCCTGGTTCCTGGCTTCTGCGTGACTCAGCTCAATGCTGCAACCATCAGACAAGTGAATCAGCGAACAGAAGATACCTCTTGCTCTGTCTTTTAAATAAACAAATAAATATTTTTAAACATGATAAGAAGTAAAAGCTAGATTCTGTGCTCAGCCAAGGTATAGTTTCAGTAAAACAGGCGGTGGAGTTTTGGCCTTGTTTTCCAGGAGCCAGTGCAGTTCCAGCTTCTCACGATTGTTGTGGACAATGATGGAATCCTTACTGACCGCATCACTGCTCCCAGGTCCACCTCTCACATTACACCCGATCTCATGGTTCGCAGCGATCCTGCCTTATGTCTCAGTCACAGGCACAGACACTCTTCAGAGTCTCTTGCTCTTGTGCAACTTCTAGGGACTCAATAGACCCACAAAATATATCAAAATCTCTTCTCCTCTACCCCATTCCTCTCCAGAACTCGGAGATTCTCGTCTCCTAGGCTACTTCAATGTCATCCCTGAATTTTTACCTGGGTCACCTAATGATGCACAGACCCCACCCTTTCCTGAAACTCCTGGACTATACTTTTCTTTCCATGTCTTCCATCTTCCCTGCAGCCTCTTCCAGCTGCTCAGACATGGGCTTCAGCTGCAGGACTCACAGAGGTTGTCCACTTATTATTATTATTATTATTATTATTATTATTATTATTATTTTGGCTAAGGCTACATGACAAAGTATTCAGCTCGGGTGCCTTTCAACAACAGATACATATTTTTATATATGTTCTGTAATCCTGAAGGCTTACAGGTACAAGATTAAAACATTAGCAGGATTATTTTCCTCTGTGAGACTCTGCCATAGCTTGTAGATGGCACTGGACCACACAACTTTGCATGGTCTTTGTCCTGTGTATTTGCATTATAATCCATGTTGAGGAGGACATGGGTCAGATTAGATTAGGGCCAACCTACACGATCTCTTTAATAAATCATTTCTTTAAAAGTCCCAGCTCCATATGCAATCACATTCTGGAGTAGGAGAGGTTAGGACATCAATATATGAATGGAAGAAGGCCACACAAACCAGCCTGTAACGCCACCTACTCAAAGCAGTGGCTAGTCCACTTGCCAACACAATTTATCTCTGTGAGCCTCTGCCAGTCATGTTGGGCCAGTGTTCAATATATGTTCTCTGACACAGTCCATCTGTCAACTTACAGAATTCATCCATTTTTCTGGGTAGCTAAAAAATATCCTTGTCTTTTGAATCCTACAAGCTTACTCTTTGCACTGTCTGCTAGCCAATCTGTTCCCACCTTGGGGGATTTTGCTGCAAGCAGGCCCCCCAAGACCACCAAGGGGCCGAGGTGATGGCGTTCTTCAGCCACCAGAATCACCGGGGAACAGTCTGATGGAGCGTGCCCGTTTATTATAAAACTAGACAACTTATACAGACTGGGAGAAGGGAAGGCAGAAGGATGTTCCCCAACAGTTCTCCCACCCAACAACGATACTATAACTGGCTAGAAGTCATATCTATTTCTCTGGACCTCTCAACAAAGTCACAGGTCACATTCTACATGCAGGCTGGAAGCTATGCCTCAGGTCACACTCACCATGTGTGGCTGGCAGATAGGCTGTGGGTCATCCCTTTTAACTTCTTAAAGTTGCTTATCAGGAAGTCCCAGTGCAGCTCCTCCAAGGACAGAGAAGAGAGACTGGGGTACAGCCCACCACTCTACCTGCATGCCCAGTGAACAGCCAGGCTGATGTCTTAGTTAGCCAACACCACTGTCAAGGGGTTTCCCTGGGGACACGGGGTGCAGTATACCCATGACCTCCCACATAGTTTAAGTAGGCAGGGATCCAGGGGTGATTCTCCCACATCCCCAAACTGGCATCTTATCTCCTCCAGTAAGGCCTCCTCCGGATATCTGCTTGGCTTCTGTGGACCCTTCCAGACACACATCTGATATGCTATTCTCCCTCCTGCTCCCCTCCGCTCAGCAAGATGATCACTTCCTAGGCTCACCCGCTCAGACTCCACAAATGGTCTCTCATCCTATTCAGAGTGAACTTCAGCTCCTACTCCTGGATGCAGATGCCCCAGATCAGCTGACCGCTTTGCTTCCTCTGCTTCTCTTAATGCTTGATATCCTGGCCTCATCCTTCTCTCTCTTTCTTGCTCAGCTGCCCCATGAGGTTCACTGCTGACTGGGAACCTTGCCCCCATCATATGCCCGAGGCACCACTACACAAAGCTTGGCCTATCTTTTTTTTCCCATATTTATTACTTCTCTGTCTCAGATGAAATGACCTTGGGGATAGGTTTATGCAATTGTTAATCATTTCAAATGTTTTATCAGAAAACGTAAAATGATAGGAGCTAAACTGTCTTAATGGATGCTCCTTTTGGAAATAGTTGAAGACCCCTTGTGTAAAAATTTACCCATCTTGTTGTTCAAAGAACTTCAGGGAGAATTAATATGCAAATTTCCAGAAACCCCTTCTGTTGCTTAAAGATGTTAGTTATTACTGCTGCCACAACTTGTTCTGTGACATCCCAGTCCATTTTCTATTACTGTCACAGAACACCTGAGACTTGGTAGCATTTTATAGAAGATGTTTGCTTACTCACAGTTCTGGAGTCCAACATACCTACTCGGCCTACTGGTGAACACTTCACACATCTTCAGGTCACGGAAAGAAGAACAAGGGAGAAGGGAGCATGTAGAGACAGAAAGCGACAGAAGGAACAGAGCTTTCCACAGCCAGCTCCGGGGGCAGTGATCCACCCTGATAGAGCAAGCCACACTCCTGGGAGTTGCTGTCAGTCCATTCCTGCAGCTCCATCTCCACAACCAGACACCTGCCAGGAGGTCCTTCCAGCCAACAATGGCCACCTTGGGGAACTAAGCCACCATGCGAGTCTTGGTGGAGCCAAACCATCTTCAAACCAAAACACGTGATGGCAGAAAAGTCAGTTTATCTCTTCAAGTCTCCATTATTTCCCTTGTAAGTTGGAAACCTTTCATTTACCGTCGTCAAGAGGCTGTGGCATGTTCATAAGGAGGTGCTCGATGGAAGGAATCCTGCAGGAAGTGGTGAGCAGTCAAAGCAGAGAGACATTTCTGAGAACTTCAGAATAGAGGTATTCATCTGGGAATTCCTGGCCAGATTTGAATATATCTGACCTCATGAGGCAGAGATGGAGAACTTGATTACTGATACATAAAGATGTGTCATTCTTTGCTTAAATTTGTTCCAATATTGCTTTTCTTTCTTCAGTTTTTCTTTTCATTAGGACTACCCAGGTCTTCTCTGAAATAAGATGACTTTTCAGGTAGAGTTTTAAAGATGGTGCTCAGTCTCCACACACTTGAGACATGATTGAAACATGAATTTTGAAATTTCAACAAGGGCTGGCACTGTAACACAGCAGGCAAAGATGTGCTGGGTACCCTTGGGTATCAGTTTGAATCCTGTTGCTCCATTTCTGATCTAGCTCCATGTTGATGCACCTGGGAAAGAGGTGCTGGATGTTCCAAGTGCTTGGGCTCCTGATACTCGTGTGGAAAACTTGCAAGGAACTCCTGGCCCCTGGATTCAACCTGGCCAAGCTCCAGCCATTGCTGCCACTTGGGGAGTGAGCCAGCAGGTGGAAGATCTGCTCTCTCTCTCTCTCTCACTTTTGCTCTCACTCCCTCTCTCTCTGTAATTCCACCTTTTAAATAAATCAATTATTAAAAAAAGAAACTTCAACTCACTTTGATATCTGTGGTTGTGTGTCTTATCAACGCCTTCTTTTCAACCTATAATCTGAAGGTGGCTGGAGTCAGTTTGGTAATAACGAGTCTAAAAACACTAGAGTAATCTAGCATGTGAGTTGATCCTTTTATCACCCTTCTCTTATCCAGCACGCACACACACACATTTTTGTTTTTGACTTCTCAATATGTCTTGAATGCACCTAGAATGAACCTATTTCTTCCTTAGAAATGGTATAATATATGCAATGATTCTTCTTGTTTTTGAAAAACCATTTATTTTGTTTTTGTCTGAAAGGCAGATTCACAGAGAGGAAAAATAGAAAGAGGAATCTCGCGTCTGATGGCTTTGTTCACAAATGGCTGCAACAGTCAGAGGTGAGCTGATCTGAAGCCAGGAGCCAGGAGCTTCTGCCAGGTCTCTCACACAGGTGCAGACAATAAGCAGGGAGCTGGATCAGAAACAGAGAAGACAAAAGTAGGACTGGCACCCATACTAGATGCTGGGGTCACAGGTGAAGGCTTAGCTTACTACACAATGGGGTCAACCCTCATTATTTCTTATTGTTTTATTCTCAATTAATATTCTATGAAATAGCTTGAATTTTGAGAGCACAATAACATTCCACTCCTCCCTCCATCTTATCTTCCATCCCTTCCCCCTTTTCATTTTTGATTTTTAACATAGCATATTCTAACGTCAAATCACAGCAAAAGGCTTAATACTTCATCAAACATGAAGTCAAACAATTAGAAAGCAAAGGAACTAGCTTAGTGGTGATACACACAATGGCTGTAAACAATAATTACATAGAAAATTTGTCCAATGATTATTCCTGAGGGTATCAAAGTTCATGATAACTAAAGAAAGTCAAAATGGACATTAAAAATTATTAAATTTCATTTTGTACATTAGAAGTGTTAGTCACCAGATTAGTTCTGAGTAATTGGAAACACCCATTCCTTCCCTTGGCCCTTGCAAACCTGTCGCATTACACTGAGCAGCTCCTGAGACACGTGTGACCATGCTTTTTTGGGCCTATTTGAAACTTGCCAAGCAGAGGGAAAGCTTTGTGACCCAAGTAGTCTCATTCTGTGCAGGAAAGATGGCATCCAAGTAGTATCATTGAATACATTATTGAGGACCTACTATGTGCATATGTAAGCTCGGAGTTTGAGCTTACTTCTTCCAGGACCTTGTCATCTAATTATCCATTAACCTAACCAGGAGACTATCACTGCACAAATGCCAGAACACTGTTGTCAGGTGAATCATCTTAAAATATAAACAAGATGTTGCCTGATCTTGCTAACGTGATACGGAGGTGTGTGTGAGCATGGAAGCAAGTGGCTTCTCATGTTTCAGCAGTGGGGGGAGCATGGGTTCATCCTAAGACTGGAAAGCACCTGGGGAAGGATTCATGTCCGTCCCATCTGCTGGGCTGCTAAGAAGGGGAAGGCTCAAAATCACAACCTTGACGGCCAGACTGGAAATGTACTGGGGTTTCCAGGGCAAGCCTTGAATCCTTTATCCTTCCTTGATCTGCTCATGTCCTCTTGCTCCTATGCAGTAGCTCAGTGTTCTGTGGCAATTGTGCTGATATGAAGGGCTTTCAACTCATTTATGGGGAATGGTTTACCCATTATCTAAAATACTTTGTTAAAGAGTTCAATGAATTGCGCTCAGAAGTTAAATATCTGAGAGGCAACCAAGTGTAATACAAAGAATTTTTCCGAAGTCTTTGTACTGAAGGCCATACAATCTTTTGCTTCAGGTAAGTTAGAACAAAAACTAAACAGAAAGAACACACAGCGTCCTAGGCTCCAAAAATCCCTGGAGAAAATAACACCAACAGTTAGTGAGATTGCAGATGTTAACATATCATGGTAAACAGATCTTGTATAAAGTGCTAACAGCCAGGACTTCTTGTATATACTTGATTTTTGTTATAAACAACAAATATATGTATTATTTTATGTGTATGTAATATACATATGTAATGTTTTAGCTACAAGCTTTCCATGTAGGAAGGGTCTCTAACAGAGTTGTTTTAATATTATGAAGTGAAAAAGTTTTAACAACTGTATAGTGGGAAACAATCCAACACCAACAAATGTCAAGGACGGTGCATAATTACTGGGATAGAATGTCCTAGCTGTGGGTATGAGGAGACAGCCAACTTGCCAGATCAAAAGGCAGTCACAACCAGGGATGTGACCTGCTCCAAACCGAACCAAGCCAGCAGAAGTGGACCAACTGGTCCCTCTGGAATATATATATATGTATACACACATTATTATATATGTGTATAATACATTATATTTGAATATATAATATATGGATATATAATGCATTACATATTATATGCATATATCCATATATGAGTATATGCTTACAATATATGTGTGTTTGCATAATATATATTATACTATATATGTTATACTATATATATATTGTTCATGGATCTCAAATAATGCTTATGAGTCTCAAAACTTTTTGCAACAAAAATCCATCTATCTTTTAAATATTACTTGTATTTTCCACGAGCTTTTGGAAGTACTTCATATATCTAAGGGTCCATGATCAGATTTGCGGGTTCTCACTGATGTTCAGGCATCCCAGGACCACACAGAGTCTTCTTTGTATTACTCACTACCAGGTTCATAATCTTCCTTTTAAACAAAATGTTGCATGGAAGTTCTCTGAAGTTCTCTGTAGCTGAGAGCTCACACTGGCCCTGGGGTTCCACACCCCACTTGTCCTGCCATGGCATATAGGGGCCACAGTGTTCATGTGGACAGATAGAAAAGTAAAACATCAGAAGTAACACAGGTGTTCACCTGGCACTTTATTATTGTTGCCTAAAGGAAGGCATATGTACAAAGACAAGAGGTCACCAGCGATCTAAGTTACTTCCCTAATTATTAGACTGGTGTACCAGACAATGGTCCATTACCAGTCCTGCCTGAAATACCAACTGCTGTGATATCTGTCAATGTCATTGCAGATGTTCCTTGCTTGTTGTGTGAGCTACCATTCCTTATGACCACAATGGCTAACCAGGCCTGTTGATAATGATATGGGACATGTTAGGACATGGACAGACCACAAGGGAAAAATGATCTCTGATGTGGTAAGCATTTTGCCAACAAAATGAATCAATGATGGACCCACTGGTTAGATCTAGGGCATAAAATCAGCCTCGAATCCTGGGAATATGGAAAATAGCAATAAGGGTAGACCTACATTAAAAGCAAGGTTGACCTGACACCAAATTACAGAGTGCTAGAAAACAGCTCATTGAACCCTTCCCTCTTAACCCTGGTATGGTTCTAGAGAATGGAAGATTGGGTCATTTATGGTGAGAAAGGGATGAAAGATGGAACACTGGACAGGCCATGATGTGGCTACAGGCACACTATATTCCAGTAAGATCTGTCTAAGAATGGACCATTTCCACTGCTACTGTTACGCTTTTTGTCAAACACACACCTCGAATTGTCATCCTATGAGCTATCCTAGTCTAGGCACTGAGACTTGACCCACTTATTTATGGGCCACTAAACTGGATGGACAGGAAAAATAGGAGACCTGAATTTGTAATAGTCCCTGGTCTGTTTTGATAATGTTTTGCCAGCCAATATGTATTGGCCAACTTGGTGGTTACCTGCAAAAGGGTGAGTGAGATTAAGAGTGTGTGATTTCAAGCAGGAAATATGTAAACAGAGGGAAGGATTTATATCTTCTTATCATTTGAATTTTTTATATTGTGATAGAATTTGGGTATTTCATAAAAATGTACTATAAGGACAGGTAACACTATTTTTAAAGATATATTTATTTTTATTGGAAAGTCAGATATAAAGAGAGGAGAACAGAGAGGAAGATCTTTCATCTGTTGATTCATTCCCCAAGCGGCTGCAATGGCCAGAGCTGCGCTGATCCAAAGCCAGGAGCCAGGAACTTCCTCCATGTCTCCATGCAGGTGCAGGGTCTCAACGCTTTGGGCCGTCCTATCCTTGACTGCTTTCCCAGGCCACAAGCAGGGAGCTGGATGGGAAGCGGGGCTGCCGGGATTAGAACTGGCACCCATATGGGATCCCGGGCATGTGCAAGGCTGGAACTTTAGCTGCTAGGCTAAAGCGCTGGGCCCAATTCCCATCATTTTTTTGACCTTTCGTAACTTTCCTTTGCCTAATTCTCTTTGAATATCCCCACAGTTCACTAGGACAGGAATATTGCCAGTGC